AATTGCAGCGCAATTAAACAACTTTATATCACCAGTGACGTTTAAAAAATATGATTTTTCAAATTTAATTGATACTTTCAACATTCATACTACTTTCCTTTGCATAGTTTGCTCTGCAAAATTACTAAAAACGTAAAACTTTGTTCACATTTTAATACGGTACCTCAGTGAGAGTCCCATGTGTTCAGGATTAAGACAGACTTCTTAGAAAGTAGTGTAAAGAAGATTAGAGGATTCACAGCCTGTTGTGACTGAATAACTAGGAGGGCTGTCAAAGAAACTGAGTCCAGTGCCAGTATGCAGTGCCTTCCTTGAACATTGCTGCTTCTATATCCATTCTGAAGTATGAATACATGAGATATGAGAAATGGAAGACCTCTGCATTTTGCTTCAAAAACACTTGCTTAGGGACCAAATGAGTGTTACCTATACAAATCACTCATTTAAGTTCCAAGCCTTGATATTTTTCAAGTTTGTTAGCTGAAAAGGATTTCCTGTCATGCTGTATACATTATTTTACATTCTTGGGAACCAATGCCTAAAAGAGTTTTCATGATTTTAGCTGTCATAATCTTGAAGACTATCACATTATTTCAACTACTCCTCACATATTAGAAGGCTGTCTAGGATCCCTGCATTTAAAGGCTCAGAAGTTTTCTCGAGACCTTTAACTCATACTGATTTGTGATGCTCCTATTCATATTTATTCTTATTACAATACTGTTCCTCAGCTCAAATACCTCTTTTCCCTACATGACTCTCCACCAAAATTTCTAGGCAATGGTCCTAGTGGATATCAAGCTGTTTTCCTGTCCTTTATAAAGCCATGTTCCAAGTAGTCTTGATAATTCTGAGACTCTATACAGTGAGCTAGCTGGTCAGAATAACTGTAATTATTGGCTTATATACTAATGCTTCCTTCACTGGCAATATCAAATGCATTCTAGGGTAACATTTGCACCAGTATTTCTTCATAGCCAGCTTATAGTATGCTGTTGACTAAAACACTTGGATATTTAGCCTTTTGTCATCTGCAACTGACAATTCCACCCATTTACCCATTTAAAAAAGAAATACGTTCAGTTTATTTCTAAATGCATGTCTGATACATAATTGTAGTGTTAGATTTGTTCTCATTTTTAATTAATTGATATCAATAATTCAGTTTTTCCCATATAGGAATCAGTCCTACATTTTAATCTTCCAAATCCAATGTCTTATCAAATGTTATTAGCACACTACTATATTTTGTAGCAATGTCATGAAAGAAAATGTTAATGCTCACTCCTAAAACTCTATCAGCTTTCTGTGCAGATAATTCAGGCAATTCAGAGCAAGAACCTATCTTATTCTGAATATCTCCTCAGAGAAGATGCCTTCTATTGACTATCAATGGAGCATAATAAGAATAGCTAAAGTTAGCTTTTGGAATATCCTTATTCCTGTACTAAGCAGATGACTAACAACTCTTTTTCTGTTACAGAGAAACATTAAGTTTCCTAGTTATTACTTGTACTTGGGGATAAATAGAGTTTTCTGATTTCTATAACATTACCCACACTGGGCTTGTCAGCACAAACTGAAGATATGTTTTTGAATCAATACTTTTCATGATGCCTAGAACTACATTTTACTATCTCACTGAAACCTTTCTCAGCTGTACTGTCACATCTTGTGTGCATTTTTATAGCAATGCATTGTACATATGTATGAGTATGTATTGACATATCGCTCTGAAAATTATTTTAATCAGAGATTCTCCATCATTTATTCAAGGCTGTAAATTGTTTTTTTTCAAGACACAGTTGTAAATACAATCATAAATCATACTGACAGTGCTCAACAAAAGAATTAGAAGTTCTGTTGCAAGATCAAGAATTTTATTTCCAAGTAGAGAAAGTTTTTTAAGTGTTGCGAAAAGAAGGGTTATAACTGAAATCAGCAAAAAGTGGTCTGTATTTCTTTTCAGGCAGCAGTATACTTTTATGAAATACATTTTGTCAGAGGTCACCTGGTAGATAAAAGATGGAACTGCACTCAGGTATTTGGTGCTCATGGCCAAAAAGCAAGAAAGAATTAAACTTTAGATTGCAATGTACAAAACGGTAAACTTGATTTATTCTGATATAGCCAATTGAATTTCTTGATCCCTGTTTTGTTTGAACTCTTAACACAGAAAGCTTTCAAGCCATAGTATTTGATGGTGTTAAATACATTAGCATGCTCAGGACAGTATTTCCATGGCCTGTCCTTTCAAGGGCTATTTTCTTCCACTATGTTATGCCTAAGAGTTAGGTGTCTAACTCTTTTTTCTTGGCATGGGGAGAATTAAGCCACCGTAATTTTGTTCATTAAACAAACAAGTTTAATCCTACAAGTTCGAAAAATAAAACCCACAAAAGCAAAACATAAGAAAACTACGTTGTTGTTATACTTCTATTGTTACATATGTTGTTATTGTTAAACAAAACATGTTTAAAGTAGTAATAAAACTGTGTGCACAGTACATGAGCTGTGGTCCTGACCTTTTAGGCCATGTGAAATAGATACTTCAGCAGGGAATAAACATTTCTGCTCTGTAAAAGAGTATATGATGTAGTAAATAATACAGACCTAGGCTTATTGTAACTCATTACACAAAAGTCAGAGATAAATTTGATTAAAGGATAACATGTCAGCTTAGAGACAAATGCTAGCACCACCTAATGTGAGAGATGGAGCCCAGTTTATTAAAACTGATTTAGTCAATTCTGAATGGGCTTCGCCAGCCAAAACAATTTTAAGTGCACCTCCACACAAAGCACGTGTACAATACACATCTTCAAATCAGCAGTGTTCAACATGCATCTTCTAAAGCAAATTTAAAGTAAGCATTTTGTTACTACAAAATAATAGAGGAGGAGATAATGCAAACCAAATGAGAAGTAGGGCAAGGAAAATCAATTTCTCATCAACTGTGGGGCATATAACTTTAAACAAATTCGCAGTTTCTAATCAGTGCCAAATAATAATGTGATTCCTTTGGGCTACATTGCAATGATAAAGCACAAAATTCATGATAGAGGAGACTAACTTTTATTGGAAAGGCTGTGAAATAACAAGAAAATCATGTGCAACTTACAGGTTATCCCTAGAAAGCAGAAAAGGCCTTTGGCATGACAAATGTGATAAGTGTATTTTACTAAAAGATAGCCAGCGCTCTGAACAAATATAGCAACAGAAAAGAGTAAGAATGATTTTAAATTCCTTGTATAGAACCTGAAAAACTAATTGTGACATGTTAGTTCAAAAAAAGAAAGGATTTCGTTACACTGTAGATGGCTTGAGCAAAGGGAAAATGTGACACTAAAAGAACCATGACAAGGTTACAAAGTGTATCAGAATTGTTTGATTAATCTCCTGTCTGGGGAGTTTTAAGAAATAGATACTACAGAAGACTTAAATTAGAAGAATGATAAGCACATACTTCCAGGCTTCTGCTTTTAACAGCTCATCTTCATTTTATCCACTAGTTTTACTGCTGCAGAATTTTCACATCCTTAAATTATACTTCCCTGGGCACTGTGATGTGTGTGTGTCTCTGGAAAGCTGTACTTCTAAAAAGCTAGACACATTCCACTCTAACACTCTCCTATTTGAGTTATAGCTCCTTCTGTTAGGACTTTCAAAGTAGGTTTAGGTCTTGAAATGGTGTTTATTCAAAGATCACTTTGTGGTGCTTTTCAATTTTTCCCTACACAATACCACTACCCAACCCACCCACCCTTCCATGTCATACCGCTTTCCCTCTAACTTACTTTTGGGAAGATAGTCTTAAGAATCTAGAAATTTCAGGTATGTTTCACTGTTGATCAGGCTCCTCTTTTGCTGTAACATCCACAGCCCATGATTTTGAAACAGCATGAAAAAATGTTGAGAAAGAAAAATTCTCTGATGTAGTTCTAGTACTGGGCACAGCTGACAGGGTTTCAGTACAGGGGTGGCAGTCACAGCCAGTTACAACCAGCTCTGACATGAGTGTGTAACATCAGCTGAATATTGTTGTGTCTAGGATACAGAAGAAATCCCGTATCCTGGTCCCCACATAGAGGAAGACCAAATGTATGGCCCAGCTGCCAGCTGGGTGGCACTGTAAAACAGCTCCAGTTTGCATAATCATACAGTAGCAAGTAACTGAGGATCAAATTTCAAGTATGAATAAGACCAAAAGAGTTGATCAAAAATCACTTTCCGTTAGATTTTCTAATTGTCTGTGCAGCATGCATAGATCCTCTTAAAAGCATTAGTTTCATTGCAGAATGTGAGTTTGAGAGTGTTTGAAAATCAGTGGTCCTCAGGTTTGAAGAAATGATGAGTGTTAGAATAACAGTTCAGTGTTACTATGACCCTGAGTAAACTCTTAGTGGAAACTTCAGCAGGAACATCAGTGTTTTGTTTTCACTTAGAAAAACAGATCAGTTTTTATCTTGTGTCAGCTAATACCCGCAACAAAACCTAGATGAAATCAATTTTCCCAGTATTAGAAAGCATAAAGTAAATATAGTCTTTCCTCCCACCTGCACATTAGTCTTTAACTCGGTTATGTCCCACCATCATTAGGGTATTACCATCAAATAACATGGACATTTTCATGCACAGACGGTAAGAGTATGCCTTGTGTCTTAGCAAATACATCGGATAAGCTCTAGGCCTTACATAGCTACAGTAGAACTTTGTGAAAAGCAGCTGTGGGAAGTCATTATTGCAGTGGGCGATTCAAAGCACAGGGTACCATGATCTCCTCTGCTTGAAATATCATGTAGACTGCTGCTGGCATAAGCAAGGAAGCAAAAGTAGTTAAATTAGGTGCCCACTTACTGTGAACTAAGTGGTGTGAATCAGCTCTGTGGCCAATAAAGATCCAATCTTAACATCTGACTTCTGCCCAGAAGTAGAATTGGCACTGTTTCCTTCCATTGATTTCCAGAACGTTAAGCTTTTTTTCCTTTTCTTTTAATCAGCACACAGAACCCAACACCTTCAGATTTCAAAATGAATGATTATGCTGATGCCCAACTTCAAGATCTTGTCCGAAAAATGCGGGAAAGGGCAACAGTCTATAAGGAAAAGCTGAAAGACCCAGTGCTGTCCTCTCCTGAAGGCAGTCCTACAGCTTGTAAGTCACTCTAGAAATAGCTGTGTGCTTGTTGAGTTTAAAGATGAAAATTATTTTGTGGGAACAAAAAATCCTGTGGTAAAATTTTCAAATAAGTGTAGTGTGTTTACCCACTGGGATGGATCAGTTTGTGCCCATTGTCTGAAGCAGGTTTATCCGTATCAGTCAACAGTAAGCCAGGTCCTTAGGTATGAGCTCCATTTGAACCCTATCACTGAGGAAATCAGGGGAAAAAGCCTTGAGCAATATGTAGAATCATCCTTGACAAGAAGTTTTCTGTGTTTTAAAATGCTGCCAGATATGTTTATTTATGGAGATGAATCTGAATCATATGAAGACATATACATATACGAGTAGATATTTGTCACTCTTAAGATTAGATCAGCTGTCTAAAAGTAAATAAAATTTTAGCCATGGCGGCAGTCTTTCAGACACACTGAGGACTCTATGTACATGCTTCAAATGGAGCAAAATCATTTAAATTAATTAATAATTAACTTTTGAAGAAAAGGAAATGCAAAACAAATACAATGTGTTTCCTCTTCAGAGAAAATCTGATTTCATTTTTTTTTCATTTTAAAAATAATTAAGTGTGGGTTTATATTCTGACATCTTAGAAACATAACTTTCTTTAATAAGCTGTAAAAAATAGTGCCTGAAGTATTATTATAAACTACAGCAGCCGATAAAGGAATGACCTTTTTTTTTATTTTTTTTTTGTTCATTTACCTCTTTTGTTCTCTTTGTGGAACTTAAAATCCTTTATTTCCTAAATCATTAAAGATCCAGTTTGCCAGTTTACTGTTAAGACTGTGTATCTTATTCAGAGGTGAAGCCATGAGAATTAATGGGACAAATGTGTGAACAAAATTATACAGCTCAAAGATGGAAGAACTAGGCTCAAAGGAGTGCGACAAGATTTTTGTGAGCCTAGAAACATACAAAACCATTAGCTTCCCACTAGTTTCACATGCCGCATCTTGTGTATCAGATCTCAGGAGAGGGGAGACATGAGCCCATGGCACAAATGTCTTCTCTTAGCCCTGACACAAATGTTTTTTCTTATCCCTTCCTAACTGTATGCACTATTTGCATCAGTCATGTAAAAAGGAATACCAAGTTGCATTAATGAATGCTGTATTATGAATTACCTTATTTCTTGTGAGTCTTTTATGGTATTAGTTGTGGGCACTGTCCAAGGAGATACAGTAATATTGCATTCTTACATAAAGTGTCCTGCTGTTAGTAGCAGATTTTATTCTCCAATAGGTCATGATTTTATTCTCCAATCTATTTTCTAAGGCATTCAGTATTACAATGAATTGTAGCTTTAGTCACTGCCAAGCGTTTTTAGAACAGATTTTATCTGTACCCTGTTGAAACAGAGTGTAGTAACTAAAATGGCATCCTTTGTGGCATTCTATGTGGCTAGCACCAAGGAAGAAGCCTGCACCCCCACCAAAAGAAGAGAAAAAAGAAGAAAAGAAAGAGGAAGCAGAAGCAAAACCAGAGGAGGATCACTACTGCGATATGCTATGCTGTAAATTAAAAAAACCTCCAGTGAAAAAATACTTAAAGTATCTGCAGCTACCAGACAGCATAGACTCATACACAGGTAAATTAAAAGCTATGCAATAGAATGGGGCAAAGGTATAATAAAGTGACCTAGTGTTACATAGTACCTGTGAACCACCATAAGATCAACATTCCAGTTTGCAACTTTGAGGGCCGCATACATCCTGCCCTAAAGAACATTTATTTCAAACAAGGAGGAGATATGAAAAGTGACAACAGTTGTAAAGAAGGTATGCACAAAACTGGTATGTTAACCAACCACAATTAAACTCCAAATCTTCTGATTCTTGATCAAGAATTTGTCCCATTCATCAGGGCCAAATAACTGTTTTATCGGTTATACACCAATAACATGCAAAATGTATTGAGTTTTTTTCAGCTGCATTAAATTCTATGTTCTTGTAAACTCACCTTTTTTCCCTTTTGCAAATTCTTTGTGTGACTCCTAGCTCCAGCCTATGTCACTTTAGCAGCCTGTGCTGTTGAAAAAAGGAGAATGATAGGTTGCCCTAGGCAGAAGCATTCCCAGAGGCTGCAGTAGAATAAATATGTCTAAAAGACTGAAAAAAGATTCTAACTTCATGCCTGTAAATTCAATGTGGGTTTGTTGTTTTTTTTTTCTTTCAGATCATCGTTATGTAGCATGGCTTATGCTTGTGACAGTTGCCTATAATTGGAATTGCTGGTTTATTCCCCTTCGCTTTGTGTTCCCATATCAAACCCCAAGTAATACAATATATTGGTTTACCATGGACATCCTTTGCGATATCTGCTACCTGTGTGACTTATTAATTTTCCAGCCCCGAGTGCAATTTATAAGAGGGGGAGATATAATAGTAAGTACTGGAAGTGGTATTTCCATCGGTACTAGTTTTGCATCAGAAAATAATGTATATAGGAATTTCCTCTAATCTGACACATTTTTTCTTGCTATGTCAAATCTACACAACTTTTCCATACCTATATTATTCTTCACTGACCTTCCATAATCCTATTTTGGAAAGAGGAGAAATATTCATTGTCTACATTCTTAAAAAGTTAAAAACAGGTTTGAAAGTAATAGATCAGAGCAGCTGGAACAGGCGTAAGGCTACTCTCACCAGGAGTAAACTGGTGCAGCTTCACTGGAATCAGTGCAAGAATCGTAGTTGAAGATCGCACATATTCTGCTAGGGCTTGGCAGGATATGTGTGTTTTGTTACAGATTGTGAGACTGGGGGGGGAGAGGAGAGGGATGACAAAATCAGAGCAAATCCCTGTTATCTCAGGATGCATAGAAAATTATTTATATGAAATATTTTATTTTGGGAAAATATTTACATTCAATTTTGCTTTTTGCTACTATTTTTGTGCTATTTTTTATTGAAAAATGCAAAATAAAACTCTATCTGAAAAAAAGGTAAAGAGCGTTAACATATCAAAAGGGCATCTGGAACTTTTTTTCTACTTTTGATTCTTTAACTTATAGAAGAAAACCTAATGTGGAAAAAAATGAGTTTTGATAACTTCAGTGTGACACTACTGTGCTCAATAGATAGAAAATTCAAAATTATATATAGTAAAATGCAATTTGGAGCAAACTTTAGTTCAGTGCTTTTACATAAAATTTTACACATTAGGCATACAAGATATTAGTGATATCTTTACAGAGGATTTCAGATAAAACTGTGCAAATATAGTTTGGATATATATTAAATGCTGTGCAGTGTAATATATTTTTCCATGCCAAGACATTTAGCAACTGGCAATCTTTCCTAAATCCTACAAAACTCAGGTTTTATGAACAAAGTTAAAACTCTAATGTAAGAAGCTTACCTTGTATTTCCCTTGAAGTTGTTCGTACAATTTATAGATTTTAGTGCATGAAGAGATCATCTACTGTCTGATCTCCTTCATTTACTTTAATGCTTAAACTAAAAATAGTGAAAAGTTGGTTTGGCAATATCCTTAAGATTTTAAAGCCATTTTGAAATGTCCCTGGTATAAATAGAAAGCATAATAGATACATTTCTTTGGATGCTTGTGATTACCCTTTCTTATTAAGGTATAAGCATCAGTTCCCATGGAGAGCAATTCAAAAATAAATATCTAATCATTACTAATGAATGCAGTGTTGATTATTATAATGTTAATAACGCTAGCATGTTAATGCTTTCTTTCAAAGAGCTGCTTTTGTATAGCACCATCAGAAACATTCTTTGCATTTTTCTTGGAATAACTGAAGTCAAATGGAGGTTTTGGCCCTGGAATTGAAAGGATTTGCCTCAAGCAACAACTGGTAGAGATGACATGAGAGGGTAGTTTTATGGGAAAAATATAACGTACTTTTTCAGACCAACAGCCAAGCCTGACTAAAATCAGACAAGCCCTAAACTTGATATTTTTTCAAGTAGGTCTAATAAAAGCTAGTGTAATTAAAGCTACTACTTCTTCCTACAGGTAGTTCTTCATTCATAATTTTAGGGCATCAATAATACAGCTATCATCATTTCTACTGTCAGAAGAGAATTATTTTTACTGTCAGGTACCAGAGGCTCATTCTTGACATTCTGCTCTTGACTGCTTTTTTGTCTTTTCATTATCATTGTAGTCAGACAAAGTGGAAATGAAGAAATTCTACCGCAGCTCTATTAAATTCCGGGTAAGCAGACCCTGTGTTATTGATGTAAATATGCAAGTTCTGGCTGAGGATTTCACAGGACTTTTTTCATTCACTGAAAATCACCATTGGTTTAAAAACATCACCAGAAAGCATTGGTTTGATGCCAGGCCAGTGCTCAACAGCTCAAGATTCCTATCTTCACAAAGGGTGGCAAAGCACTGGAACAAGCTGCCCAGGGAGGTTGTGGAGTCTCTCCCTCTAGAGATATTCAGAATCTGCCTGGACTTGTTTCTATAACCTGCTTTATCTGTCTCTGACTTGGCAGAGGGGTTGGACTAGATGATCTCCAGAGGTCCCTTCCAACACTAATGATTCTGTGATTCTGCCATTAAAATTCCGTGTTTTGATGACTTTTTGCAAGGTAGTCCCCTTACACACTGAAAGACAATTGCACAGTATGCCAGAGATTCATTAAACAAAATAAAAAGTCTTGAAGTTAGATGATAACTCTATTTAGTGAATTCTCATGAAGGACGTCATGGTACTGAATAGGATTTTACTCACACAAGTAAACAAAAATTGAAACTAATATTTTGGACACTTACTGCACTTCGTAAAAACAAAGATTAATTTGACTTAAGAAAATTGTTAACTTTTTCCTAAATACTTTTTTTTTTTGCCAACAAAGCATAGGTAGTCCATTGTATACATACTGCTCTGTGATTCCAAGCCCACATCTCTGAAATCTCAATTATTGCCCCTTCCTCTTCTGTAAATACTTTTGTATGTGTCTTATTTTTGTCTCAGTGACTATGGTATCATTACTTTTGTACTTGAGGTTCAGCTGTTCAAAAGTGCAGGATATATACAGGTAAGTGAATAGTACAGAGTCAAACTTACAGCAAGAGAACTAAACGGATATACATGGGTTTATTTTAAGTTCACACTTGCAGTGTGTCTAGTGCTCTTGACTTATGCAGAAACTAATGAGTGTTGAGTGTTCTCACCACATGGAAGATAGATGTAATCTGGGAATTTGTCATACGATTAAGTACTAATTAACAGTTACTGATCTTGAAACACTTCTGACTAAATTCTGCCTCCTCTTAGTCATGTGTCTGAGAGAGGGACAGAGGCCATAAAAGGTTGTTGTCCTCATTCAATATTTTGGTTTGGTTGGCTTTTATTCAGAGTTCAGGTATTAACTTCATCTTACTTGGAATAAAAGTTCAGTGCTGCAGGCTAATTGCTACCAACGTGGGTGGCATCACTCAGAGCAAAAGCACATCTGATTACAGTGAGATGAAGCCTACCCTCCCACATCCCTGTTTTGTTCCCAAATGATATCAGCAACAGAACAAGGTACCACAGGATCTTTGGAAAGGCAAAGCCAAGTCTGCCAAAGCTTTCCTTCTCTCCATAGAATTCTTGGAAAGAATAAAGTAAGCAGGTAAAGAAGAGTAATCACAATGTTGATGGATTGCAGGGAGATATTGAAAATCTCAGTGATATGGGAAGAAACCTCCAAATACAGCAAAAGACAACATTAAAAAACAAAAAAAAAACAAAAAAAACAAGCAAACTTACCATCCTATGATAAATCTGTTTTTTGGAACACATGGCTTCTTCAGGTTGCAAACAAGAAGTCCTGTTCATCCAGTTCCTCTGCATTGCTTTAGGCAACCTGGTTTTGAAATATGTAGAACTTCTAAGAAGAGCTTGTGGAGTTCTCCTCACCTTCACTCACCAGGCACATGCCTGCCCTTTTAGTCTGGTCAGGACTATAACTGAAATAACAGAATGTATTAGTAATCAAATATCAGAGATACTGTTAACAGTCCCCATGAAACAGATTAAAATGTCAGGCATGGGGGACTTAAAAGCAGGGCAGAGCAAATTTGGTGGTGTTTTCCAAGAGATAATCTTGCCTGACAGTACTTGGGAAGTTACTGGCTTAGCATGCTGACTGTTCAATTATACACAATCATGATTCAATCTAAGTAGGTTTTTGACATCAAATAAATGCATTATAATTTTTGTGAAGTTTAAACAGACCTCTCTGCTCTTCAACAGCTTGATGTGGTATCAGTACTGCCGTTTGAAGTTTTATACTTCTTCTTTGGATTTAACCCACTGTTTAGAGCAAATAGGATGCTAAAGGTAAGATCTGTGATCTGTGTTCGTGATTGATGGCTAACCACACATAAATATTTTACAAAACAATAGAAATCTGTTTATAATGTTTAGGAATATGAAATTCAGAGATTGGAGAATATCTTCAGGGTAAACTATAACATCAGTAAACAAGCCAACAAAAAATACAAGATATAGTCTAGCTGATAAAGACTTTATTCTCTTAATTTTCTTCTGACTATTATTTCCTACTTTCAAACTGTTTTTTCTGATTAAAGATGGTTTATTTATATTATTTTAATTAGATTATTCTTAAATTACCTGTTTAGTTTTCAAAGATAAAAAAGAATAATTTAAGATCATTGATTGATGCCAATGTACTTTCACATTCTGTTGGCAATGTCAGGCATTTAAAAGAAAAGGGGGGAATTTTAAGGACAATGTAAACTATATACAGCATATTTAACAAACATAAACCCACTTTTGCTTTTGGACTTTGAGTTCAAAGACATCTGGAGTTGTTGAATGAAGGGAGTGAGAAGGGATTAGACAACAGACCTCTACCTGCATTTCACAGTCCCTAGCAGGCCGCTCTGCTACTAAATACACCCCCTTCACACAATCAATATGTTGACAAAAAACTGGCTTTTATTTAAAGCTGGGGGGTAACACAAGAAATCTGAGAATAAAATGAGGGTGCTCTTCACTTTAGCTTTCAATAAAACTTAAAAATTACATAATCATACTTACATAAATCAGAACCAACAAAATATGAAAGAATGAAAAGTTAAATAGTATCTCAGGCATACAGTCATGTACTGAACAAAAACAAAGAAAAAAAGCTACATGCAAATATTAATGGCAAATAATTAACAGGAAGAATTCAATCCAGGAGCAATTGATTTTACATGGTATCATCTAGTATGCAGTTGTTGTTACATAAGACCACCTACTGAAGAATTATTGGAATTTCAGAAAGAGAAAAAAGGGGTTCTTGTGAGTGTAATTCTCTCAGATAAAGTTGCCCAAGCAGTTTTATATATTTGAGGAAGAAGTCATTTATCTGCAGCAGTCTGACCTATACAGTAGATTATTTCTCTCAACACCCAAAACAAAGTTTAACTCTATTTTTATCTCTTTTTTTTCAGTTAACCTTTTATTTAAATGTTTAAGTCCAACTACTGAAAAATCCATTATTTTCAAACTGTGCATGTGAACTAATATCAGTACTATTATAAAAGCATATGTAGTGAAGAATAGTGATTGGATTACTTTCATTTTCCATTCAGCATAACACATTCTTTGAGTTTAATGATCGTTTGGAAGCTGTTCTGGACAAAGCATACATCTACAGGTATGTGCTTATTAAACTCTTGTAGCATGCAAAGCTTGGCACAGAATATATCTCATTTGATTTCACAAGTTGTCAGTGAAGCCTTTAACAGTTCAAGTTAAAATCTTTTAAAACATCTGTCTTTGTTGTAATCATTAAAATAATAAACGTAAAGCTTCACTCACATGTGAAAACTAACTTGGTACAGCTGGCCTGGTTCAGACAAAATGTTCAGCAGCATCAGGATACTGATAAAATTTAACTGATCAGAAGCACGAGAAAGAAGTTTCTTCAATGAAAGAGCTGACGAACAGTTTCTTTAGGTTGCAAATAGCAGTTCCAAATCCTCAGTAGCTGTTTATTTGTATTCAATAGGAGTTATGAGCTTGAGCCTGTGTCAATATTTTTCTTCAAATATGCTCTCACCATGAACCTGGCATATACAGAAATTTGATCCTCCACTGCTTTTTCTAAACTTGGAATAAGAATCAACTCAGCACAGATCCCAAATGGTGATTATCACTGTTGTCCGCTGCACTATGTTCTCATCTTCTGCATCGGCAGGAAGAGTTTTGGATCCAATTCAAGCAGCTTGTGGTCATGGTTATGGCAAATTTCATAGGCCCCTTAACTGTCAGTGATGCTGCTAAATCCCAGTGAACCAATCTACTGTTACCATTATTGTCATTGACTGTCAACATCATCAGTCCTAGTTTATCTTGTGCAATTCCTAAACTGACAGTTTTTTTTTTATCCTGGCCTATATTTTGGGGCACGTATTGCTCTTGTGTGCTGCTGTGCTGCAGAAATAAAGATCTGTTGTTTACCACCTTATTCTATTTCTGAGATTGCACATAAATTGTAAACTTGGCATTTATACCTTATAAATGAGATATTTTATGAGATTTAGAAGCCAGTTAAACTTGAAAAGAAGGCTAAAGAATCATCATTGTCACATTTTCATGTACTTGCAAAAGAAATCAAAACTCAGAAGTTTGAAAGTTCTGTTAAAGTATTTGTGAGATGCTGACCTACACAAAGCTTATTCTTCTGTTGCTCTTTCCTTTCACTTATGAAGAGCCTTTCGACTTTGAGAGTTGTTTGGGTTTGGTTTTATTTCTTTTTAAAAAAAAAAAAAAATTTGCTGTTATAAGAGAAAGTTTCTCTGAATTTCCACAGGTTGAAGAATTCTCTTGTCAGTTTCTATACCACTGCCTCCCTCTGTTCCCCAAATTTTATTTCATGAAAAAGAACGGGTTTTTATCTGTCTTGCGTATATTTTTTAACTTTTTCCTAATGTTGAGATCTTTTAAGATTAATCAAGTATTTTCAATATTACATCCTTTACTTTGGACTCTATGACTTCCCTGTATCTCCTAGAATATTTGCAGTGAACACTGGAATATATAGATTTTTAATATAGATAGTTTTGAGTTGTATTTAACAATAATGTTGTGTGTGTATTGATTTCAAAGAAATAGGAACAAATTAGCAAACCTGATTTCACCCAAAGAAGCACTTTTGCAACTACAACATTACGTTTTGGGAAATGGTTGTTTAAAAGGCAAGTGAGAATGGGATGTGTGTATCTTCAACCTAGCCTAAATTTGAAGGGTACAATATTGATTAGCATGTCAAAAAACAGGGAATTCTCACATTTAGAAAAGATAAGAGACACATAGCAAGATCTCACTGGTCCTCTAAAATGTCAAAAGTAGCTGGAATGACAGAAGCAGCTACTCTCCAAGGCTGTTCTGCCTCGTTAAGCGGTTTTGTAACACGGTATTACATGAGTGCCACAACTGTGCGCTACTTCTTATGTCTTCCTTTTCTGGTCACAGGCCCACTGTTGTGGTTTAAATCCAGCCAGTAACTCAGCTGCTGCTTGCTCACTCCCCACTTTTCCCCCCCCACCCCCACTCCCAGAGGGTTGGGGAGGAGAATGGAAAGAATGTAACTGCCATGGTTTGAGATAAGAACAGTCCAGTAACTAAGGTATAACACAAATCACTGCTGCTACCACCAATAATAATAATGATATGGGAAATAACAAGGGAAGAGAATACAACCACTCACCACCCACCAACCAGTACCCAGCCTGACCCAAGCAGTGATCTAGGCCTTCCAGCTAACTCTCCCAATTATATACTGGGCATGATGTGCTGTGCTATGGAATACCTCTTTGGTTAGTTTGGGTCAGGTGTCCTGCTTCCTCCTGGCTTCTTGTGCTCCTCCTCCCTGGCAGATCATGAGACTGAAAAGTCCTTGATTGGAGTAATTACTTAGCAAAGACTAAAAACATCGGTGCTATCAGCACTGTTCCCAGGCTGAAAGTCAAAAACACAGCACTACACCAGCTACTGAGAAGGAGAAAAATGGCTGCTACTGCTGAACCCAGGACACCTGCTTACATTACAACGTGTTAAAACTTAAACAGGGGAAGTTTAGGTTGGATATAAGAAGGAAATTCTTTCCTGTTAGGGTGGTGAGGCACTGGAATAGGTTACCCAGGGAGGTTGTGAATGCTCCATCCCTGGCAGTGTTCAAGACCAGGTTGGTTGAGGCCTTGGGTGATATGATTTAGAGTAAAGTGTCCCTGCCCATGGCAGGGGGGCTGGAACTAGATGAACTTAAGGTCCTTTCCAACCCTAACGATTCTATGATTCTATGATTTTCCAATATTAAATCCTTTGCAGAATGTAAATTACAGAATGTAAATACTACAAAGTGAATCAATTTTTTACCTCATAGCCTTAACAGGCCAGAAACCTGAAATGTGTGAAGTAGAGCACTCTTCATAACTAAATAAAATGCAGTTCTAAATCCCACTGAAGATGTTCAGAAAAACGATGGTAGAGCACATGGACTTCAACATGGAACAGCATATACAGGGTTAACAGTACTAATGCTTTATTATCTATAGGCTTTCCCACCAGTGAGTAACTAAGATATGCGCTAGGAAGGAAACAAATAAAAGCCTGCATACTGAGCTACCAAAATGTTATATTTTGTATTTGCAAAATCACCTATTATGTACGTCATGCTGTGCCCTCATTCAGTGCTTTAAAACATACTTCAAAAAAAACTGAGTCCCTGTTTTTGAGGTTTTCATTGGTAAAAACATAAGGCAAAGATCGTTTAATTGGTTTACTAGAAGCCATTAGGGTAAGGAAAGATAAAGGACAAATGGAGAAGGCAGGTAGTTATACAGAAGATAAGGATAAATAGGAGATAGAAATATTAAAAAAAAATGACAGGCTCTGCAAACTATGGCATTTCATTTGAATGTAGCAATGTTGTTTTGATCTGAGATCATGGTGTGGTCACCATTTGAGTAATAAGGCACCAATTAATTGGACAATGTCAAACCAAACTACACAGCAAGCCTATGTGCCTAGGTGGATCTTCTTCTCAAACTCATTAGTCTGAGTTTGGAGGAATAAAGCTAACAAAAATGACTATGTCTTATCTACCCATTGCAGTAGATCCAACAGTGCCTAGAGAAATATATTATAAATTGTAACAAAGGCTCCCTGAACCTTCACTCAGACCTCAGGAATCCACTTGTGTGGATTCAAACTTGTGCACAACACCCAGCATGGTCAATATTGCGATATTACTAGACCACATCAGCTATCTGCTGTTCTCAAAAGCTTTCAATCCTAAACACAGCTGTCCTGGAAGCACACCACTCATCAACATTGTAAAGAAGAAGAGTACACATACATGGATTGTTCAATGGCATGGAGAGGCAAAGGAGGGCATGCAACAACACCTGAAGAACCATCAAAGGAGTGCATAATACAGAAGCAGCCATAGAAATATTATCTCTCATTAAGTTAGTTTATAGACCTAACTTAGACCTTATTATTAAATTTTCATAAAACCATAGCAGATGAACTCATTATATACTGGCTTCCCTGTGTTTATCAAGTCCTGTACTTTTCCTGCTCATTTATCCGCTGTCTGTATGAACATTCAAATAGAGACCTAAAGCCAGGAAATCTTTCTTTTGATTCCTGTGCACTGATCGGAGGATATACAATGAGATCATTATTGTATTAAACAGGAAGCTGCTTGGTGCTTAAGTAGCTCATCACTGATGTTCTTCAAAGATCTTGGCATAAGCATAAGAACTTGGATTAGGAATGATAAAACTCCTGACTCCTGCTGTAGCTACTAGATTGTACTATTTAGTGTATCTACTGCAGGCTTCCTAGCACAGCCCTTGTAAAGCAGTTAATTTCTGACCTCAGATATTTCTTGGCTTTGTTTCACATGTTTAGAGCCTATCTTGAATAGAGTTTGGTGAATAAATTAATTTGTACCCTGTAACCTCATTAATATAGCTTCAGATTTCTGTAAATATTCATAGCCAGTTGAAGAAGTGGATTATAAAGCCCTCAGGGAACCATAATTTAAAAATTACCCTGTCAAATACTTTAAGAAGGATATTTATTTGACTTTGGAGAAACACGAGAGACATAACTGCCAGCTATTTTTTTTCAAAGAATCAATACAGACGGGGAACTACTTAGTGGATGGTTAACATAAACACTGTTGATCCAAAAATGCCATATTAAAAGGAAGGAAAAATGTAAGCTGCTTTAAAGGAATCTGTTGACTTTTACAGGGTCATTCGAACAACAGGATATTTGCTGTTTATCTTGCACATTAATGCATGCCTGTATTATTGGGCTTCAGACTATGAAGGACTTGGCAGCACTAGATGGGTGTACGATGGCGAAGGAAACATGTAAGTGGTTTTCACTTGCAAGAGAGTTTTGTTGGTTTTGCTTCTTCCTGCATCCCCTTCAGCTTCCCATGCCTTTGCTTGCAAGGTATGTCCTTACTTTACAAGTACTTGGATAGCAAACTTTTAGCACCCTGACTGCTGATTAGCAGCTTTCATTACTAAAACATATTTGGAGGGCAGGTGCAGTGAATAATCAGTTTACCACTTTCAGCTTTTATAGGTTTGTGAGTCACTGCTAAACTCTAACGTAATTAAACATTTAGAAAGGTCATAAATTAAACTTACTGATTGCATATGCACATGGGAACTGTTAGAAGGATTGTAGAACAATCCCTCAAAGGAATCAGAGACATAGATTATTTTTTTTTTCTGCCAGCATGGTGTCATTAAAATGCAACATTTTAGTCCCTCTGGATACCATGGTGATAGGTCTGAAAAAAAATCCACCCGCTTTCTCTGATCTTTTGAGGAGGTCATACTTAAACATGTGGCAGAGTGTCTCCAGTGGGAAGGAATGGATATTGGCACACTTTTTCACAAACATCTTGTGACAGCACTAAACTGGATGCCAAGTAAGGGACATTCATTAAAATGATTGAGAGGAAGCAAGAGAAAATAGAGAAGTCAATGTGTTTTGTTTGCAGTTATATAAACACATACCTAGTCAGTTCAGATATATGAGTGTTTATTTCTTTTGAAGGCCATAATACAGTTAAAGCCATAGAAGCTCAATTTGTTCATTAACTACGTTCTTTAAAAAAAATGTATAATACACTACTGCTGTCATAAATCACCCTTTAAACAACTTTTCACATTTCTCTTAGAGACATGCTGCTCTTGCTTGCAATTTTGTCAGACTTCACAGGTTTTATGTGAAGTCACTATCTTGAAGGGTAAGAAATCGCCTTTGAGAGTAAAACACACTTTGTGTAAAGCAGCATTGATTTTTTTTTAATAGGGTTCTCTAACAAAAAAATGTCATGGCTGAAATTTCCACACACCACTAAACACACAGCTTGAGTACTGCAGTCAGACATGTGCAAGCAGGATAACGGAGCTCAGTGGGACCACTTATGTAACTGAAGCTAATACACAGGCATTTATTTGTAGGATCAAGGCTTCCAGAAATCTGACAAGAAAAATTTAGAATGAATTTCTGTTACAGATATTTTTTTTTTAATGCAATTCTTGGGAATGCTTGCTTCATAATTAAAAAATAAGGTAACTTAATGCTGAGCAACCTCAAAACTCTGAGAGTGCTTACTCAGTCTTAAGGTTTTTAATGCTTCTTTAGAATAGCCTGGAGAAGAGGAAAGAAAATCTTCCTGTTTTTCACAGGAAATAAATTTTTGCATTTCACTCAGGAACACAACTGGTAGAATTTATTTGCTAGGTTGATCACAGATAATGCAGTTGTGCCCAGAGGCAATGGTCAGGGTTTCTAGTATTTTGTGGTCCCTTTTCTGTGGGGAGACGAAAACACAAAACACTTCTCAAAAGTCACACTGAAATCACATGGGATTTAGAGTAGAAATTTTTATAAACAATAATAATTAGCTTCTTAGCTAATTAAAAATATTACAGCAAGCAGTTTGATAAATAAACCAAAATTCTAGATTAGGTCTCAGATTACACTCACCCAAAGCAAATGATCTGGCACTGATTTTGTGCCATGACCGTTTTCTGTAGAATCAGTGTTGTGCCCATAAAATGTTGCTAGTTAAGGCCAAAACCAGTTCTTAAAAACGACAACACTTCTGGGTTGTTCTGTGTTTTCTTTTGTTTTGTTTTTTCCTTTCTATTCTAAAAAGAATACACAGACAACACTTTCCCTTATCAATTTGATTATATGTTCCTTAGCAGGCATACTAATGGGTGAACTTCAATTTACAACTAACAGCTATACACAGCACTCAAGCCTCAAGCAAAATATTAAAGTAGCTTCTTTTTGCAAATTTGTGCTAGCTGTTTTCTTTTCCAGCTTGTTTCCAGACTCTAAAGTGTTAGTGCCACTTCAAGAATACATGAGGTCTTTTGCATGGCAGCCTTCAATCAAGTTTGCCTCCGTGCAGCTCATCCAAATTAGCAGCACAAGATGTTCCCAGCATTAAAACTGCATTCATGAGCTTGGTATAACTAGGTAGACAGATCTCAGTCTCTCTTAATGCAGGATAGCATCCCTGATGCAACATTATAGTGGAAAGCCTATGTAAGCAGGATATTAGAAAGGTCTCTTAATTACAGCTAAGTGATCATTTTGAACTATATGTGTTTCTTTACAATCTAATTTAACTACCTAAGTAAGAGACTGATTTCCCTAATTCCTGAAGAAAATGAGCAAATCCTTTAGAAAGGATTCAAGGCAGGCTCATGTCATTGTTCTGAATTGTCCATTTCATCACTGCGCATAAGGGAAACCAAAGCTAAAGGAGCTGAAATTCTCATGCAAACCCCCCAGGTCAGCATTAAATTCTGGCAAAGCAAATCACTCAATTCTGATCATGTTATAGTTCTTCTGCTGTTTGCAAGGCATCCACAAGTAGTCTTCAAAATTCTCTGGCATATTTATTAATCAAGACATCAATTATATTTCTCTGTAGCTCATTTTCTTCCTGCTCTGGCCACAGACTTAGCAGATACTTGGAAGTCCCAGAAAATTGTCCCTATACGTGTCTAGAACAACTCTACTTGTTTTGTATGCCTTGCCCAATGCACAGTAATACTGACGTATCCTAAAAGGCGGCTCATGGGTATCAGCTATACATTGTACTTGCTGGTCTGATGCGTCCCACTTGTTGTCTTGCTACACAGAGACAGTTTTGTGCCTCCAGAAAATCTGTGAAAGCACAGCCCAACTCATGTCAGACCTAATGCTTTCAGAGCTAATACTTGTAGGATATATTTTAGATAAAAGCTTTGTAGTTGACATCATCCACCCTGAGATCATCACATTCTCACAGCTATCTGGTGGATAAGTCATTCAAGAAAAAGAGGTACCGAGAAGGAAGACATTTAGAGTACCAGTTTATAAAGGCTACTTCTTTACCCTGCTTAAACCTACCCTGGTAGTAATCTGAGGGAAGTCAAACATGATAGCACTGAAATAATGTTCCTCTGGACTGAAATGAATGTGTTAATACCACTTTAAAATCTGATAGCCATGTTCACAAAGATTTAATTTGCTCTATTAACTAAAACCTTGTTAGAAGTTTAGTGTACTCCGAAATAGACTTTTATGAAAGAGATATTTCTACTGGCATAATATTACGAGGTATATTACTTGCACTGGGTTTCTTTGACTGTTTTCATACCTAGGCCTTATTTTAGTGAAAATTCTAGTAGTTTGATTGCCTGAAGGATAAACTTACTCACTACGTTGTGCAGAGGGAAAATCCCTTTTTTGTTTCATGTTGTTTGCTTCAACAGTAATTTTATAGCAGGCCAGTAAACCGTATGGTGAGCAATGGTGGTTTCCAAACACCAGCTAGTAGGAAGCAGAGCTGCTAATACTGTTGAAATAAGGGCCTGTTATTTCTGACTTTCCTTAAACAAAAATTACAGTCTCATTTATCCCATTCTTAGGGAAAAAAAAAAAATCAAAATCTGTTTTATATTTTAACTGTGGAACTTTTCTTTCAGATTTAAATAAAAATAATAAGATGCATAAAAGGAGAAAATATAAAACCTGTGCCTAAGAGGTAGTGAATATCATGTGACTTTGACAGTAGAAAGTGTCTTTTGAACTAAAATTACAAAAGAATATGCTGTATTAAGTACATCTTCAAAAAGGGGTGGGCAGATGTGAAAAAAAACCTCTTGGATTTACAACACTGCAAACAAGAATGTGACCCCTAAATTCCTTTGAGAAGCTGCTTTCATTCTTTGCAGACATTCCCAAAATTAAGATTAGATTGACTATCATGGTGGATTTAGCTATCTTGTAATCCAAGGCCACTGGGGGTAAGGGAAATGGTTAATTGTTTTTATTTCCTACAGTAACTAGTAAAGAAGTAATGTTAATTTCTTTACTTTTGTATTAATAAATTATACATGTTTCAAGCACTATAGCATTCTCAGTTATGGGAAATAAATATGGGAAATGAATATGATATGAATACGATTTATAATTCAGACAAGCTAGAGAAATCATCTTATGCTTAAATCTGCAACTCTTCCAGAACAGATCTGAGGGTTTTTCTTACTATTTATTTATGCTACAGAAGTCTAAGAGAAAGCTGCTACATATCCATACTTGGCTGGAAGCATGCATAGGTGATGACTTTTTTAAACTCAAGTGAAAATACTATAGTGGTGTAATCTAGTTATTCTTTTTGCACCCCTAACAAGGAAAAATGATATGATAGCAGACAGAATGAGATTTTTCACTTAAGGACTCTGAATGAAAACAGACAGTTCTGGCTGTTAAAATCTCAAATTAGAAAACTATTGTAAAAGTGATTATTATTACTCCATTTCATTAATTTGCAACTAAGAAAAAAGTGATTTGGCAATGAAAAGCAAAAATTGATTGCTTGGTAAAGCCTGACATTTTAGATTAAAGATTTGAGAACACTTCTGAGTGATTTCAATAAAAACCCTTATTGAAATTGGTTAGGTTTGTGAGGGATTTTTCTCCTGTTTGCACAAAACTAACCCTCCAATTGCACTGTTACGCTGACCACTTGTTAGTAGGAGTGGAGTGTGTACGAACAACAGCAGAGTTTAGAACTGGAGACCACCAAGTCAAAATGTACACCTGAAGCAAGTAGATTGGGTGGCCTCAGATTCAGGGTAGGCATGAGAAGATGTGTGCAAGACTTTCTATTTAAAAGCAAACATCTCCAAAAATTTTTCTTCTGTGATTTTGTTTTGGGGTGGGTTTTTTAATTTATTTCAAACAACAAAATTCAACAAACAAAAGGAATCTTCATTGATTCAGCAGCAATAGTCATAGGTGAAATAATAGAAAATCTCATTGCACAGTTAAAGAAAATGAACTCCCACTCCTAATCATTAGTGAAGCTGAATGATTATACAGAGACTTAGGAAGTCAAATTCTAATTAATAGGAGGCTTTTGAAAGTATTCCTAAACCAATTACTTGTTAGCACAGAAAAATAAGGAAATGTTAGTACATTCACAACGATTTGAACTAATTAATCCCCACTGCACAGTATGGGGGATGCTGAATTACTAGTGGTGCCATGTTCTAGAAATACATTTCAAACAGAATTTTAGAGATCCCAAGACACTTACATATATTTTATTTTTTTTTTTAAAGAGAGTTAGTAGGATTATCCTGGCAAAATGAAAAAGAAAAAAAGTTCGCTGCTTTCATAAACTTGTGTAATCATACAAATAGAAAAGCATCACTTGAATGCAACAAGCTCTGTCATGCACAAGGCACAATGTACAAAGAGGGTTGTACAAACAGAACAAAAAATCTTGTCCAGAGAGCTCACACTTCTGGTATGGGTATTGATAGCCAGCAGACCAATGTGAAGAAATCAATATAAGCCACATGTTGAAGCAGAGTCTTAGTGACTGACCATTGCTCCCTGCTATGAAAGTGAAGAAAGCAAGAAATGTTTGTTAAGGTGACAGTATGGGTAGTAGCGGAGAGCCTATAGAAGTTAATGCAGGAGTCAACCTTTCAGTTCAGAATAAGTTGAGTGGTTTGGAGAACCTGGATTAACACACAGTTTGTGAAATCATACAACTCCTGTTTGACGTAACCCAGGAGGTTATGAAGGGTGCTCAGGAGCAGAGGAGGGGGAAGACCAAAGTGGCTAAAGGCAGAAGAAAATTAATGGACACAAGAAAAACACTTGTGTATTTGTCGTGCCTTCACACTGGTGTCATCAAGTGAAGCCATGGAAAAGACCTTCAGCTGTGCGTGCATCTAGTCTGCTACAGATGGGAAGTCTCTTAACAGTTTTACACTGCCTTTAACATGATGGCATCTTCACTGGTAGCATTCTAACACTGTAATGTACATATTGGCAATATGTTACAGAAAACTTCTGTAATACTGCAGTTACTGGAGAACAGTAGGTAGCCACTGCATTTCCCATATACCTTATTTTGCTGCAGTGAGAACATTCAGCTCAATGCCATTTATATAACTATCATTTGTAAAATTATACCCCTTTATAAAAGATGCTGAAGGTCTTTTGGACTGAGAAGCATCACTGAAGGCTCAACTCAAGTAGGTATCTGCTTAACTTTAACCTCAAAAATACCTAATCAGTAACAAAAAATTTTGTCTGTATCCGCAGGTATCTGAGATGTTATTATTGGGCAGTTCGTACTTTAATCACCATCGGTGGCCTTCCAGAACCACAAACTCTGTTTGAGATAGTTTTTCAACTGCTGAATTTTTTCCTGGGTGTCTTTGTCTTCTCCAGCTTAATTGGTCAGGTACATCAAAAAATCAGTAACTACATATGTTCAAATCACTGTAATGTAGTGACAATATATTCAACTTAATTCTGGGAAAAAGTTTAGCTTTCATCTGAATGTCCCTCTATTTAACTGTCATTTGTACTTATTCTTCCAACAAATACATGTGTTTAATCAGTTCCCAGTTTTGCAGCTCTTTTGCACAAAAGCTGATTTAGAGCCAAGACTCTGCAGGACACTGATGATTCTTGAAACTATGCATAGTTTCTTTTTGAATTTCTCACGGGCAAGGAGACAGTCCCTTGGTATTCACTTTATGCCGTTAAATCAGACATAAAAAAATATAATTGTAGGTATGATATTAACAAGTACAAATTATTCAATAAGTCATGTTTAATACTACTGCCAATAGAGTACTGTTAATGGAAACCCCATGATTTTTGTCAAACTAGAATTCTGCTCTCTTCCATAAATTACAATATAATCGTTAACCAGAAAATATATTGTATTCTATTTCTCTTGGTCTCATTTGGCAGAAGGAAAAAAAAAACCAAAACCCATAGCACAGGAAATCAGCTAGATTTCCAAATTAATATAAGTGAAATATTTCTGGCTTGTAACTATTAAACTTGTGTCTCTGATTCATAAGTTTTAAAATGCCTTGCCTACAGAGAAACAAATCCCATGGTTCCTATGTAAGACTGTGTCTTATTAGATTCCTGTAAAACTCATTCCAGACTTTTCATTTGTACATGTCTGTTATTGGAAGAATTATTACCAAAAACAGAGATGAAAACTGAAAATTGTTCAAACAGTTCAAAATTGTACGTGTCTTGCTGTTTAGAAGTTCATGAAGAGATAACCATCATGAAACAGACTCTTGCCTATAGGATTTAAAATTCATTCACAAACAAAAATTACCAAAAATAAAACAAAGTAGTTCATATGATATATTTCTTCTGGAAAACTATTAAATACAAGTATATTGCATTAAAATTCAGAGGGTGCATTTTTTTTCCTAAATTGATATAACTTTCAATGAAACCACCATTCCCCAAGAAGATTCTGCAGATTAGTTTTTGTAACCAGTACAGTCATTTGCAGACTTAAACCTTAAATCTTAACACACGAACTGCTTTACTGACGTTCCCATTTACAAAAAGCTCTTAATTTTACTGAGTTATTCCTGGCTTAGCACACCTGCCTAAAAATTAATATTCCTATTGCAGTCAGTTGCATCTCTGTAATAAAGAGCAAAATTCACACCACCAATACCCTAATCTTTGGCCACTGCAATATCAAGTCATTCTGCTAAGCTTCTTTTGAAGAAGGAATATTTACAAACATTAACTTATCTACTTTCTACAAGCTGAATTACTTTTGTGTTGGAATGTTAAGTGATATGCCTCTACTAAAAACTTCAAGGTCACATTTAGATCAAAGTGCATCTAGATCTGATCTCTTACCTATTTGAACAGTGGTTCTAGTGGTGCCAGCTGAAGTTATTAGAGAAATTTTGCCTACTTTGCTTCACTTCTGACTTGCATTGCACACCAAATGCAGAGTAGCTTTATTATGGATTTTTAAGAAAAACATTCTCTTTAGTTTTCATTCATGTCCAGAAATATGAGACACAATAAAATAAAACCCAAAATGATTCCTTTAAAATTATAACTACAGACTTTCTAACACAATCAGATTAAATCTGTAATACTTCTGAAAAAGCAGATTAAGCACCTATGCCAAACATGCACCTGAAGGTACAATTAATAAGTGATTTTGCAAACAAGTGTTTTATTCTTTTTATATGTGTTGACAAGATATTCAAATCAGAACTATTTTTGCTGAAATGTGTAGTAACCACAACTGATGTTTGCAGATGAGAGATGTAATTGGAGCAGCCACAGCAGGACAGAACTACTACCGCTCCTCTATGGACAACACTGTCTCCTACATGAACACTTACTCCATTCCAAAATTGGTCCAAAATCGAGTTCGAACCTGGTATGAGTACACGTGGGCCTCTCAGGGAATGCTGGGTAAGGCTTTTCAATTCCAGTTATGTAACAACTCCAAGTGGTGGTACATATACAGACTTAGGGTGAAATTCACATTCCTCCTTTTCTGAATTGCATGTGAGAAGTGAGAGGACTTCAACTTACTTTAGAAAGGAAAAAAGCTCCAAAGCAGTATGATACTTACTACTTCACAAATTCCTTTCATTTGTATAATGTTCTGGTTATACCATTAGACAAGATATGTAACTTAAAACACAATATCTTAGTAAAAGCATATTAGCATCTTCCACATTGAAACTCGTAAATGCTAGAATAGCTCCATTAAATTATTTTTCTGTATGATGCTCATTTTTATGGGCATTCTTCCTTTATATTTTCTAACTAATAGAGTTTGCTCTTTTTTTTTTTTCTTCCACAGATGAATCAGAATTACTGGAGCAGATGCCATCCAAAATGCAATTAGCCATTGCAATTGATGTGAACTTTGCCATCGTCAATAAAGTTGACTTATTCAAAGCAAGTAGCTTTACAGGATAATGCAAAAATATGTGGTATTCCTGAGACAGAAAACTTGTTTTCTGTATCTTGCAACCCTTAAGAGCATTTATTGATTTGTTAATATGCAAGGCAAAATAGGTCTAAGAAATATCTCAGTTAATGGAGACATGTAAGCACAAAGCCAAGTGCCTGCCTTTGAAATGCTTTTTGTATCTTCTCTTGTACCTTCGACATGCTTTTTGGAAAGCAGATGTTAAAAAAAAAAAAGGCAAATGAGGCACCGTGCTGTTACATTGACATACTAAAGCTGATGTTATGGTCAGTCTTTAAGTGATTTCAGAATATAACTAATCTCAAGAGTCGGACATAAGGAATGGAATTTTTAATACACTCCACTTTGCTGTATGCTGCCTATGTCTGCCTGAGAGACATGAATGCTGTGTGTTCCGGCAACATAACTTGGATGTAGCGAATGATACTTTTTAGTGCCCTATTGTGCAAAGGAGCTTTCTCTTTATTATCATGGTAGTTTTCCAGAGATACAAGTTAAATTGGGTATTAAGGATTGGATTTCTGACACCAAAAACAAGGAGACACTGCATGTTTAGAAGTAGTTGATATACTGTAACCTTAACACTAATTTCTTTGTTAAGATAATTACAAGAAATCATATGATATCACTGTAAAAACATCACATAGCTCATGGTTTCTGCCACATTTGCTGAAGACATGGAATTCGTAGATTCATACCATTTGACATAATTTGTTGTGGTTTTTTTTTTCCCTGGATCTGTAAAAAGAATTCACATCAAAGATCTATAAAGCTCTGAACATGGCACTAACTGATCTTCCACAGTGAATTTAGATGTACAGAAGCTTACTTTGTAAAAAATGAGATGTTCAACCTAAAGAGAACTTTGTAAGATGTGAAGTGACATTTTTTCAGTCTTTTTTCTCTTCTAACAGCAGATCTTTATGATGTTTATAGTTTGTATTACACTTATGAATCTCTGCATCATTCATGTATTGTTGGGTTTCGCTGCTCAGTGTAGGCACTAACAGTCACTTGTACTACTGAATTACTAGAGCAATCAATTCTGTTTTAACAGGGGTGCGATACCCAGATGATATATGACATGCTGCTAAGGTTGAAATCCATTGTGTATTTACCTGGTGACTTTGTCTGCAAAAAGGTGAGCATTCTTGTCTCTTTCAAATAATAATCAATAGTATGTATTTTCAAAAAAGAGTTCAGATCCAGTCAATAGTGTCTCCTTTAAATAAAATTAACCCCAAGTGAATTAGGTAGCATAAAAGTAATTAAGGTTCTCTGTGTAATAATAACAAATGTGCTCTCAAATTTCAACCTAGGACAAGACAATATAGATTTTAAAACTTACACTATCAAACAAAAAATATAGTAATATGGGAAAATATTTAATGTAAATAAGGTTTATCTAATCATACATCATGAAGTTTTAATAATTAAAATTGATCAAGGTTATTTTGCTTATATATATATATATACACATACAAACCTAGCTTACAGGTCTCAATGTATGATGCTTTGCACGTGCTTCATTTGTGTGTTCTGACATTTAAGTTGAATTATCCAAGAATGAAGAAATTACACTGCATCAAAACCACTCCTTACAGCAGGATCTGATCTTGCTCTACCTTCGTTCACAGCTCAGAGCCACCTCCAGACTTTCAGCTGAATGCTGTCACACTGTCCCTTCACAAAGACTTCCATCAAATGCAGCCTTATAGTAACAGAGGTAGATAGCTCAGCTTCTGACCAAGTGAGCCAAAGTGTCTTTTCTGAAGGAATATAAACATTCTTAGGCAGGACAGGATGTAATGAAAACATGGGGGGATGAAGTATCAGCACTTTTACTGTTCTGGCAAGTGACCCACAATTCACACCATACCCAGAAGTGAAAATCAGAACCCCTTACTTTCTTTAGCAGTTCTGGTCCATCATGCTCACTAGGTCTTGCTCCCTCCAAGAGTTAAGTGTATGATCCTCTTCCCAAATGCTAAATTAGTCCCACTGACTCCACAGTGTAGGAAGTTAAACAGTTGTACATGCACTGAAGGATCAGGTGTTTGTCTTCAAAGACCAATCCCAGAATTACTGTTAGCCAGGAAGGGTGGAAGAGTAGTTTGGTGTGTTTGCTGTGCAATGCACATCATGGAAGGATCTTAGACTGCAGCAAGAACAGAGATAATAAATGACAGTAAAAGATTCAAGGTCTTGATACTGCTGTCAGATGAAAAAAGTTTTCAACAAGGATGGATTATGAGAAATTCCAGCTTGATTCAGTTAAAATGCCTCTCACCTGTATAAATTTACTATGTGGCCAACAACCATAGCAATTCTATTAATGCTGTAACACACAGTAGGGAAAAAAGCCCTGTTAGAACAACCTCCTCCATTGATGTATTTTGGCCTCATCATAATTTACTGAGGAGGCTATGCAAAAAGGCTGGGAGGAGCAACCAGTGCTCCTAGGAAGGAAGTGCAAGCCTTGCATTTCATCCTAGCTTTGTTGCTGTTGCTTTTTCACTTTTAAAATTAAACTGCTTCTTTGCCTCATTTACTCCAGCTGCATGACTGCGAAAATAGTTATTCGTCTGCCTTACTGAAATGTTGTTAGGACTTCTATGATCATGTTTGCAAAGTTCATTATCTTGCTCCAGTTTACCTGCTTTATATTGCATGTACTGATGTCACACCACTGAAACCTAGTAAATATGTGAAGGATAATAAATAAACAAATAATCTCTTCAATCATCCAGTGATTACACAAAAGCTTACATAAATTTAATGGCTGTTTATTCTTTATTTTCCTTTTATATTAGGCAAGTGATAGTAAAAATAATAGTGTAAAACCTGAAGCTTTTAGACCATGAAGCAGAGGCTTTTTTGAACGTCTCAACTATTAAATACACTGCTGCTGTACTTTAGTTTCGACCAGAACAGTTGGTGCATATGACTGCTACAATCCTGATTATCATTTCTTTTCCAAGATGGCCTAGATGGTCTTACTTCTGTTCAAATATTGACCCATATCGCAATTAGAGCTGCCAAAGTCAGTGCCTGCATTTGTGCTCAGTAAAAACTTTAATTTCTCCATAATAGCAGTAAACTTGTTTATGAGAGAGTAGAAACATATTTAAAGAATCTGACTGATTATTCTAACAAAAAAAAAACCAAACAACTGGCCCTGCTAAAACATGGGATCTTTCTTGTGTGTGTGCTCAGGGAGAGATTGGCAGAGAGATGTACATCATCAAACAGGGTGAAGTTCAAGTCCTTGGAGGCCCTGATGGTACAAAAGTCCTGGTTACACTAAGAGCAGGAGCTGTATTTGGGGAGATCAGGTAGGTCAATCACTGTTTTAACACTTTCTTTAGAATTGGTCAAATAATAAATGGTTGTTCTACTTCTTGTTTAACTTTACTTTCCTGGTAAGCATGACAGCTACCACAGGGAGGCTAGGAAGTGGGTAGGATCAACCAAGAGGACACTGAGCAAGGAGATGTAGGTAAGTAAAGGAAAATCTTAGTGAAGCATCACAGACAAATCTGGCAAGATCTCAGACCAGAGTTTTCAGCAATGTACACAAGGATATACAGACAAATTTCTCCTTCAGCATTTAAAAGATTTAACACATCTTCCTGTTCCGAGGTCTGCAATATGCAGGACCAAATAGATTTTATTGCCTGTAGAGTGAGACTAATTGCCCTTACACAGCAGATGGTAAAAATGATAATTAATTTCCAACAAAGGAGATAAAATAATCTAAAATAGCAAATAAAACTAGTTCATTTAGGATCTGAAGTAGGGATCCAGTTGCCAAAAATCAGGAATCCACATCTGAAAATGTATTTGCTTAAGAACATTCAAAACAAGAAAAAGGCTGACATATCAGATTTTGGGGTTTGAGTTTTCTGGAGGATAAAATTTTTCTTTGAGAGCTACAAATGTTTTTTATGTTCTTCATGTGGTTGCTATGCAAAATCCATTAACTCTTACACGCCATGTTCCCCAATTAACCAAGCAACTGCTAGATTTTAGGTACTACATGCCCTGCTGAGGTTGGCCTGAGGATAAGTAATAAAATACATGTGCTGCTGTATGTGATAAACTGGATCCTTGATTTCTTCCATCTGCCTTCCTGTTATTGTTAATCCTCTTGCTGGTAGCTTCAATCTGCCTTTTGAAAAGAGGTAATCAGATCTGTGCCAGGTTAACATTTATCTTCTACTTGTGTCTCCCTTTGTAGTAGCAGAAACAGTCCAGGGACATGCATTTATCCAGGAACATGTGTACAGAACTTGCTTAGACCTCAAGTGGAAAAAAACCTGATATATCCCACAGATACAGACTGTTTTCATTGAGTGGGAAAGTGAAATTATATCAGCTGTTTGAGAGAAGGGTATTTGAAAGGTATTTCTCTGTTTCGATATAATACCTGAGCAAAGCTTCAAACCAAAATGCTGCATTATAAGTTATGTGGAAAGGCTGAGAATGCACTGGTGTTCGGTACAGGCTGAACAGTGAAAGGATAAAAGAAAAGGCTACAGCAGCCCAAACGTGTAACACACACAGTTTTTGATCATTTATTAGTATTGTATTTGGAGCAAGGGCTTTATTTTTTAAACTGAGACATTATAATGACTGGTTTTAAAGCAAGAAAGGGATTTGCAAACTTTTGACCTAATACAGGTGAGCACCTGAGAACTACGTAACAGCCTTTAAAAGACTAATTTTGCAGTATGCGTTACTCTTCACATAACTGCCTATATGGCCATTAAAACCCTCAGCAATGCTTTAACTCTACACTTTTAGTCTTGTTTTTCTTATCATTGACTTACTGCGGCAGCATACCCATTCAGACTCACGTAATTTGCATCTAAATGTGAGGTAGAGGACAAACTCAAGGAGAATAGTGGCAGACACCTCCAAAACTGAAGAAAATCAAAGACGTGAAGCACTAAATTTGTTGGTAGAGATTTGTCTTCTTCCTTGTGGCAAAGTGTTAAAAAATAATGAGTTTGTATAGAGCCTTTTTGTATAAGTTTTGTCAGGGTCTTCTGAATACTGTATAGCAAAAGCAAATGAAAAAATATTCTTTCATGGGAGAAACTGCTTCATTTAACACATCCAAGTTTTCTCCTCAGTATTCACAGCATGGTTATCACCTGATATCAGACTGATTTCCTTCTGATTTCTGATTCAAGATTTGTTTAGAGAAATACATCAGCTTCATTCCAAGGGGTTTAACTACATGATTTATAAGACACTTGCTATCTAATCTCACTCTGTTCAAAATGCATGTAAATGATGCATAAAAAGTCTCTGAGGGTGAAGGAGTTGAAGAAAACAAAACATGTTTACTTCAAAAAAAATCCCTGAATCCTAGAAGGCCATTGCAAGACTAACGTTCAAACATGTCCTTAGCCAATTTCATCCTTGGAAATTTTTACAGAAACAGATTAAGTAATAGGAGTTGCCTTCCAAATAACATTTTAGCCTCATTACTTTTTTCCCATATAGATAATATCAGTTTTGGAAAGCAAACTAATCTCAGAATCAGAGGCAAACAGATTGCTGCCTTAATGACAGCCTCTCTGCACAGACAATTGAGAAGGAGAGAAATTCAGCTATAATACAACACTTTATTAGCGCAGAGAAATTTACACTTTAAGCCACATGTCCTCATTCATCCATTCACAGATATTTTACTAGGAATACTTCCTATCAGAAAATGGTAATTCTGGAAAAATTAAAACATTTCTCCACTATATGTTTATTTTTTATAGGAAGATCTCTCATCTTTTGCTTTTTTTTTCTTAAAGTTAGGCAAGCTGACTCATCACTTTGTCACTTTGACAACTTTGTACCTAAGAGATGATCAATCAGAGAGGGCTGCAGCAGCACCTTTGCTGTGGAGACAGGCAGAGTTGGTTTTTTTCAGCCTGCAGAAGACTCCAGGAAGGCCTTATGGTAGTACCTTCCAGTATCTAACAGGGGCCTGCAAGAAATCTGGAGAGGGACTTTTTACAGGGGCCTGTTGTGACAGGACCAGGGGAATGGCTTTAAACTGGCAGGGGAGATTTAGATTACATATTAGGAAGAAATTCTTTATGTGAGTTGTGAGGGTGGTGAGACCCTCGCACAGGCTGCTAGAACCAGATGATCTTTAAGGTCCCTTCCAACCTAAACTATTCTATGATTCTATGAAATTAAATTTGCTAGCATAAAAATTCAAAAGTTATCATCTCATACTAATATTAGAGCTTTTCAGGGTAACAACTGGAGTAAAATATATAAGGTTAAAAAGGAAAAATACTTTGTTAATATATATCTTAAATTATCAAGAACTATTGCAAGGCAAATGTAGGGGGTTTATAAAATTTGGTCTCTGAGGTACCAGCACACTAGATTCAATGATGAAACCTGTAACACTGTCTTTAGTCAAAGGGGATTTTGTTTGAGACAACTGCCTTACTTGTAAAATTCACCTCACATCATCACCATAATGAAAAAGCTGATCTCTTTAGTCCTAGTCTGCCTCCATAAAATGAGCTTTCTGTTAGGAAAGCCTGAAAATGATTGCTCAACGACTTGTTGAGAAGTGATTAATCAGAACCCAAAAGCTGTTTGCAATTTTCTTTAGTTGCTTTTCTTATTGTGCAAATAGTTTTATTCTATCTGAGGGATTGTAAAGAATTGTTTAAAGAGAAAACTGCATTTTCAGCTTGAGTTCATATATTGATTGCTGTCTTGGGTTGCAGAAAAGCATTCTGCATGTATATGTAAAAATTGCAGGAGTCTTATATTATCATAAATCAAATATATTATCAGTATAATCCAATATTTACAGATGTGTCTTATAAATACATGTAATATCAAAATCAATCGTATATCCTTGATTAAAATTAGGTAACAATTAATACATGCTTTATGGGTTCCAGATTATCCTTTATTAATAAATTTTAAATGTAGGGACTGCTAAGTATTCTCTAAAAATATTAACTCACTGGGAAAATTTGGGGCAGATCTCCTTGAATACAGTGGTAAAGCAATTTTAGTACTATCAGCAAAATGTGAATTCTCTTACTTATCACCACAGCTGAGAAGTGAAATCTCCTCATTTCTGCAGGATGAACAATTTAATTTTTATTTGTAAAACACCTAATTTTTATGTGGATATCCTTCCTATGGCCAACAGCTGCTCCCTAAACTGGTCTAATGCCTTACTTTCAAAACAAAATAGCCTTGTTTTTCTGGCGGACACATTTGTCACTCTCAGCCTGAAAGGCCTTCCTAATCCATATAATTCAACTTGCCAACATTAAAACATGAGAAACTGTATGTGAGAAAACTGAAAACTGGAGTCCCACAGAAGTTATTCACTCAAGAAAATCAAAATCCTGGAGAATCATTAATTCATTGCAAATAACCCTTTCATTAATAAGGGATTTGTGCTGCTCTGCTTCTGATATAAACAATTTTCAACAATAAAATTGAGGAAATGCCAAGTTCACATGAGGACTGAAACAAATGTAGTCCCTTCAGTGAGTGTCTCTTGGGAGAAATCTATCTAGAAAGAATTTTCACAGCCCTTAACATCTACATATGCCTGACCAGCAGTGACAATTTGCCTTCCTGAGGCAAAATATTTCTAATCCCTACTGCAAAGTGCCTTTAAAGTGTGGCGTATCATGACACAGAATCAAGTTAATGCAGAGACTCAAATCCTTGTTTACTGTCACCAAGCCGTTTTTATCCCCTTGTTCGGTACTTTCCCAACCTGCACATACATACAACGTTCAGTCTTATTGGCCACTGTGAAACTATCTGGGTAAATAGTCCAATCACAACGTTGCAGACCCTCTCACAACCCCCACATCCTCTGGCCTACAACTGAGATTCCGCCACAACTACATCCTGGTCCATACTCCCAAGGCTTGCTTTGTTTACCTTCTCTGCCCTTTAACATTCCAACTCATTGCCCCAGGGCTTGTCGAAGCTTCAAGGCCTCAGAGCTCATTGCCAAACTCTTTTTCATGCAAATCTTATCACCTTCACTCCCCACAATAAAGAACATCAGATAGAACAATTGGGTACATGCTTTAGGATTACTCTAATGGAGAATCATCAGCAAAGAAATTCCTCACTAGGACAAGTAACAATGTGACTGACAATGTTTATTTTCATTCCAGTCTATTAGCTGCAGGTGGAGGAAATCGAAGGACTGCCAACGTGGTGGCTCACGGTTTTGCCAACCTTTTCATTCTGGACAAGAAAACACTCAACGAAATCTTGGTGCACTATCCTGACTCAGAAAAACTTCTCATGAAGAAAGCAAAGTATGTCCTAGTAACAGTTTTTAAATCACATTATTTCACTGCAGAATGGATAGTTGTGGCTTCTAGACAGATTTGCACTCCTTTCTTGGAAGAGTAACAGATGTAAACACATTTGTATTTAGAAGTCAGGTTTGCCTGGCAGTATCTAGTGGAAGTCATGGTCTTGGCAGGGATTCCAAGGGTTGTGGAAATATGGTAAGAAGAATGAAGTCTTGACTGTAGCGGCCACCTTCTTTGTATTTAAGGTAACAAAACAAATAGGAGATACAGAGGTATATTAAGTTTCCTTACATAGTCAAGAAACAAACTGCAGGACAGTCAGTTAAGGAGCAGGTTTTCAAAGATGCAAACAGACACTCAGAATTAGTTCCATAGAGATATGCTTCAATGCACTCATATTTGTATTCATTTCCAAAACCTCAAGCAGTAGTTACTGCGAGAAACGTGCTCACTTCTAAATAAAATTTATTAGGGACAAAGTCAATGGATCAAAGAAAACAGCGCTGAGCACATGACCATAGCCAGAGGCACACAGTTATACCCGTACACAAGCTTTTTAGCCATTCCATATTGCATCAGCTGAATACATAGTTATCCTGAGAACAGGGAGGAATTATTACAATTGCTTCTCCAAAAGGATTTCCATAAATCTGCCCTGGTCTCCTCCTTTTGGCGCATGCTGTCTGCCTCCTGGTGGTCATCTCAGGGGTCTTCGGGGATGAAGTAAGACGTCTTCCTCTAAGGTGAACTTTTCATCCTGGGTCTTGAGCCAGTTCTGACTAGTCCTGTGGGTGTTAGTTCTTTCAGTTTCTTTCACTGGTGTTACATTACAGGATGGTCATGTTTGATAAGCCTTTATCTTGTGCAGGCCACATATGCTTGGCGAAAGCAAAATTTCATTAACCCTTTATTACCTCTCACATTAGGAACAGATTTAAAGTAATGCCCAACAAGATAAAAGTACACAGATTGGAGAAAAGTCCATTTTGTTCAAAAAGATTCTGAAATGGGATTTCAAACCCAAATTGCTTTTCATCTTGCTTTGGTTGTAGCTTGCTAGAATCACTATTTCCCCAGCTTTGAAAGAGCAAAATATTGTCATATTTTCTCACAAATTTATGACAAAGTTAGTAACTTGCTACCTTGCAAAAGGTCCAGATACTTGAAATATATTGTCATTATTAGTATACTTCAGCACTCATTGCTCTCGGCTGTTGCCTTGCCCTGCTATCAAAGGTTGGAAGGCTTTTCCCAGATTAGAAATTCCACCAGAACAGACTAAACATAGCACACGAGTGACATTTTGGTTAGTGTAAGTGCTAGCAGATGGTTGCATTCAGCATGTTTCAACAGCCCTGGTTGTCAAATGACAGTATCTTGAGAATCATCACGTCCCTTAGGAACAGGGAATCAAGACACAGAATGAACTCATTGCCCAGTTTTCAAAACCAGCATCAACAGGTAGAAAGGTGGAACAAATCCACTGACTGATGGTCCCCTGCATTTATCATAGAATCATACAATCAGCTAGGTTGGAAAAGACCTTTAAAATCATCAAGTCCAACCATTATCCAGGACTGCCAAGACCACCACTAAACCACTAAAATGAGGGATATCCTTCCTGACTTTTCTCCAGCGTCTTTCTAAACAGTTGTACAACCATCATTACTTGCTCTTCCTGTCTCTGTCCCACACTGCCACCTTCTTTCTTGCCCACCCTAATCGTATCTTGCCTAACCACTGAATACTGCTTCCTCCAGACAGCCTTTCTCAACTGCAGGAGCTTAATCATCCATCCTTTGTATCTTCACTCCCATCTGAGCTCTCACCCTCTCTAGATATTAGACTAGATACAGGACACCCTGTTTAATTTTAAAGATACACAGTACCTGCCCTGTGCTGGAGGCCATGTATTCTGCTCACCCAGCAATTTTTCTGTCCCATGCTCTTTGTGTGGTCAGCCATGTCTCTAGAAAAACTAGGCACCAACAGGAATTTGTGCACTGTTCTGATAAAGATTGCAGTTATGTTCAGTTTTGGAGTCAGGTTATCAGTTGCTGTGCCCTGGAAGGTTTACATCAGAGATCTCTCACCTTTAAAGGGCTCCTTGAAACAAATGCAAAGAATTAATTCAAGCAAGAAATTTGTTCTACTATCACGTGCCTGACAGTCAATGTATAGTATTTTCATAATAAACTCATGCAAGCTGCAGAAGTGTACTTTTCAAATTGATGACAGTAAAAAGACTAAAATCTTTGCTTCTGGACTTCCCAGATTTACGAAGTACAAGATGCTGGGGAAAATTACAGTATTATGGGATTTACTGTACTTCAGACTGCAAGTATAGTCCTTGTTCATAAAAAGCTTTAAGTCAGGGTTTTTGCAAGGATAGAAAAGTTGCCTTGAAAACTGTATAGTAACCTAATGGAAACTGGAAGCATGGGAACCGCCTGCTTTTCACTGTCTCCATTTACCTTGGAACTGTCATCCAATCTTTACCCTTGTCACTCTTTCACACTTCTTGTTATGGCTGCAAATCAGTATAGCTACAGAAGGTGTGAAAATCTAGTCTGCCACTTTATTGGCAGTAATTTTTGTATCTTCAGGGTGTCTTCTTCTACTGAAGAACACCAAAAATACATACCACTGTCTAAACTGACCTGTGAGAGATAGGCCATGCTGGAAGTTAGTTTGGTAAATTATTACTTTCACAAGCATCAGCTGGACTCCCAGTTGATCACTAAATATGCTCTGAATTTGCATCCAGAAGGCCAGGTTAAGAGACTACCACGGCAGACATGAGGCATTTCTCTTCCTCCACACTACTTCTCACCCTATAAAGCTCTCACCTGCTTTGCAACACCTTAATTTGACACCTTCACTTATTCTCCAGGGTATAGGTAAGCAACTCCAAATCTGAACAGTAGCCTCTAACTCTACCAGGGCCTTGGGTAAAACCGTTAACTTTTCCAGCTTTGCTCTTGCCACTGGACCTGAAAACAAAAAGAATTGCCAGATTTTCATCCATGAACAACACTTTAGCTCTGCAAGAGCTTTGCTCAGTTTCACAGCACTGCTATGTGTTCTCATTCCTTCCTTTTTCCAGGGTGCTGCTGAAGGAGAAGGGGAAACCTGCCCCAGGACCACCAGTGCAACAACCACGGGGCTTGGCCAGTCTCTTTGGGCAGAAACAGGAAACTCCAAAACTGTTCAAGGCGATGCTTGGAGGCAAAGGGAAAGATGGCCTTGTGAAGCTGCTGCAGCTGAAGAGACAACAGGACATTCAGGTAACACCACAGAAAAGAATGCAGGTTCTTCCAGGTGCTGCAAGATACTGGGAGGGCTGGGGCAAACAGAGTAGGTGAAAATGCAGCCTTAATGCAACCAACAGCAAGAACTCCCAGTAGCTGAGATACAACTGCTGTACCTAATTTCTGTAAACACTATTCTAAAACTTGACTCAGATCTTCCTGGATCCGGACTCTATGCAGAGCAGAGAAAACAGAAGCAAGGAAAAAAGCAAGCAAACAAAAATCCTCAAAGAAACTAAGGATAAAATAGACTTGACAAAGACCCCAAGGGCATCTGATTCAGTTTTATGGAAACAACAGTAAATACAGAAATATCCTAACACAGTAATCTGATCCAGCTGACTTGAGCACACAGTGAACTTCCCAACATAGAGTCAGATCTCTGGTTGTCACAAATCCTGAAAACAAAATCTAATATGTAGGCCACACAGCTAAAACTGATTAAATCTCTAATACATTGCACTTAGGAGAAAACTGTTTTGTTGATGAAAAATAATTCCCACATTATACTTTGTTCTGAGAAATGTTAGTAAGAGCCTGCTCAGTTCTACGTATTTACCCAAAGGTGGCAGAACACTCTTCTGTCTTTACAGCTGAACTGGCTGTGGTTTTATTTATTTTTTTTAGTTAAATAAAGAACTTCGCTTACACAAATGACTACAACACTATTACTGGAACAGAAACATTGCTCAATTTAATGTGTATTTTTAAATTAACAGCAAATCGGCTTGGCCAAGGAATTGGGGCAACCAACAGTATGTCAATATTTACATAACACTTTCTCTTCTGTACTAGTGTAAGCATATAAAGGAAGGCAAGACCTAAGAAAGGGATGTGTGCTCCCAAACATGTCTGTTTCATCCTGCTATAAGGAGCAGATAGTATCATTATTAACAGGCTTTTCATAGGTTTTATGTATTCTGAAATTGCATTTTTCATTTAGATACTGATTTTCAGCACCTCAATGCAAATTTACACATGTTGCATACCATATTCACAATATCCACACTGTGCCTTTCCACTGCATATACAGAACTGCTTCCTGAATTTCAGCACTGGAAAACACTGAAATTCTTGTTTCTAGGAAACTCAAGCTGAAGCAGAGAACAAGCCTGAGCAAAAGGAGATGAAACCCATGGAGCCTGCAGCCCCATCTGCCCCTCCTGCACAAAAGGAAGAGCCGAATACAGACGCTAAGCCCAAACCTGCAGTTATGCACAGAGGAACCAGTAAAGAGTCTCTGATCATTAGTATGTCTCCATCCCCCAGAGCAGGAGAAGGAGAGATCCTTAAGGTTGAAGTTAAAGAGAAAAAAAATAAATAGATGCTGCTTTGGGTTGTGACCACATCTGATGTCCTGCTGAATTCAGAGGAAGATAGAAGTAGAGACTACTCAAGATACAGAATCTACCGCAGATCCTCTTCTTCTCTCCCTCCTCTCCTGACACAACTGGACAAATTACTTATACACTTACCTTTTAACCTTAAACCTGAAGAGAGAACTTTGGGTGTAATAGCAATTAGGGTTCAGATTTCAGGTGCACTTGTTCCTTCTTTGATCCATGCTCTCCCTTCTCTCTTACTCTGTCTTGTTCCTGCTTCTCCTCTTCCCTCTCCTGTTTATCCTTGCCTTCTTATTGCTCTTCCTGCTGCTCAGTTTGCTCCTAATTTTTGTATGTGTTCTTTCCTACTTCCTTTTCTGGTTTCCCATAGTTACGCTTTTTCTTGTCACTGCCCTACTGTTGCTGAGGTTACTCATGTTTCTCTGGATCCTTCTCTCTCCTCCCCTTATACTTGTAATCACTGACCTGCTTTTGTGACCAGCATGGCCCAGTGCAGGAAGCGGTGATGGTGTGCATTGGGATTATTTATTCTGGGACAGAGGGATACAAAACAAAACCATGGTCAGAAAAATAAAATCACTAAATCCATGAGGGGGAAGCAGACTGTAGAATTATTACTCTGAAAGCACAAGCAACTACTCCAGTTGTCTTTTGACTCTGATGAACAAACATGGCAAGGGCTTACATATTCCCTGCCCACCCCAGGGATGATCTTTAACTTCTGGCTGCTGATTTACAGGCTCGATCTTCTTAAGTGGTTGGGCATCAGTCATGCTCTCTGAAGAGCAAGCACCTGATACTGGCTAACTTTCTGAAGAATCTTGGTATCTAAACTAGCCCCTTCAAAACCAAAGGCTACTTTACAAAAAGTAGGATTTATGCTTTCTGGCTCTGTAGTGCATAGTTTCAACCAATGCTCCACCTGTCCACCTCCATCACAGACCTTGACTGATGGTGCAACGTGAACCCCATGCCTTACTGGGGCCAAACTGCATAGTATCCCTGAACTAAAGTAAATCCTTTACCAGTGCCACAGTTGAGAGGGATAGCGCTTCCTAAGACAGAGCTCCCACAGTGTCAACCTTCTGCATTGACTCATCATAGGAAAGGATGCAACATAAAGCAAACGGCTAAAGCTGTGTTTTAAGCTTAATTCTCTTTATCTTACACGGCTTTGCATCTCCTCCCTCTCCCAATCCATTTTTGGTCCCCACTGGATGAGCAGTTTTGGGAATTGAAACCATTATGCACAGGCCAAGCCGAGAAATCATAGAGCAGGCTTCACAGCTTCTCAGATGACCAGCCAGCCAAGGAAGGCACTGAGCCAAGATTACACACTCATTTTGCAGGCTACATGTGATCCACCAGAATCCGTGGGATCTTTGCCTGAGTGCAAGCTGGATGTTTGAGTTCCATATGTTGCATATTCCACACATCCTCTGACATGACTAAAACCCAAATCTGTTTCAAAAAGCAAGTTTTGCTGCATTAGTAGTGAGGTCAAGGTTCAGTTGCTACATGGTAAGAACTATCTTTGTTTGTATATTATGCATTGATATGTAAAAATAAAGGATGTCACAACAGAGGTAGAAAATGATAAGATGCATCATAAAGAGTTATTCATCTATTGCACATCCAAAAATGCTTCAATACAATCTCAGAATTAGAAATACTGCAGAACTGCTTCACAAATGAGGCCTTCTCTGAATAATAATGATCTATGAATTCATTACAATATATGGTTCTTCATCTTTTTTGAGAGCTGTAAAAACAGTATGTAAGGGGGAAAAAAACGTAAGCCCCCCATATTTGAAAATTTTTGTATTCATGGGTAAAGCTCTCTCTCATTGCAAAAGATCCAAACCTCTTCTGCCTACACAAATGCTACCAGGTTACTTCAAATATTTTCACTATTGGCATATTTAAATTCATCAATCACACAGACATATATTACAAGTAAGGGCTGAGACTGCAGCAGCAAACACTACACTGCAGCAACAGAGCATCCCATGAGCTGCTGTTTTGCTACAGACCTCAACAGTGCAGGACTACAGGAAAGCCTGCCAGTTCTGTCTGCAAAACTACCAAGCGATGCGTAGCTCTTGAGTTCCTCAGACCCAAAATGAAGAAGTATCAGTGTTTGCAGAAGACCATGGCCACACACAAATAACATCCATCTGCTTTTCCCTGACATCTCATTTTTCTGTTGTTGGAATATTTTCCCCTTTTCAGGGGTGTGCAGGGGCAGGAAGGCTCCAGGAACTCAAGTTGTAACTATTTATAGGGTTTTCATCAGACAGAATGACACAAGACAGGTCAAGAGTAAGATGTATTAAAACCTTTCAGGAACTAATTCTACCCTGTGGATTCTTTACTGATGGAGAAGTCAAGCAGATTAGCGCACTCAGAAGACATACCTTGCAGGTACCAAAGCTCACTCAGGCTGTGTGTGGCATCACATTCTGCTGCAATGCTATGTCTCCAGTATTTCCCAGTTTCCCAATAAAGCATCTCGAAGTTGACTACATGTCGTGGTTTAAACCCAGTCAGGTAACTCGTTCACTCACCCCCCCCCCCCCCCCCCTTCTTTCCCTGCCGCTACTCCCGGAGGGACGGAGAGGAGAATTGAAAAGAATGCAACTCCCACGGGTTGAGATAAGAACAGTTTAGTAACTAAGGTATAACACAGATCACTACTGCTACCACCAATGATAATAATGATAAAGGAAGTAACAAGGGAAGAGAATACAACACCTCAGCACCAGCTGACCGATAACTCGGCCCCCAAGCCCGACCAAACACCGACCGATACCTCCTCCAACCCTGCAGTCTCCCAGCCCTTCCCGCTAACTCCCAGTTACATCCTGGGCATGACGTGCTGTGGTATGGAATACCTCTTTGGTCAGTTTGGGTCAGGTGTCCTGTCTCTGCTTCCTCCTGGCTTCCCCTCCTCCCTGGCAGAGCATGAGGCTCACAAAGTCCTTGGCCAAACTAAAACATCGCTATCAGCTCTGTTCCCGAGCTGAAAGTCAAAACACAGCACTGCACCAGCTACCAAGGAGGAGAAACATGACTGCTACTGCTGAACCCAGGACACTACACTTGAGTGTAAAGAAGCTGAAGGGTGGAATAGGACAATGTATTTGAAAATGAAAAAAAACAAATCTCCATGCCCATCTACTTAAAAGGTAAACGCTGTTCTGAAAAACATTTTGGAGAGCCATTAATAACTGTATTAAATAGCATACATGAGAGAACTCTCACGTGGTAAAACAGCATGAAACAGGCACTGCTAAAATACCTTCTTGCTAAAAGCTAGTATGAGATGCTTTATGAAATACACACTGCACATTCATAACCACCAACTGAAAAGGCATTTTTCCTCTCATATGATAATACTTGTTATAAATCTGAGCTGTTCAGCCTGTGCCATGCTAATTACAGAAACTGCAAAAGCAGCATTTAACATGATACAAAAAAATGCTGAGTACAAAGGCACAACAGAAAAACAGTATACTGAAATTATATTTTTAATGTGTAGGCATTGTAAATCAGTTAACTTCACCAGAGCTGAAATACACAGAAAGTAAAAAATTCTGGTTACAGGTTATTTATCTGCTGTACATATATATACATTATGACCTCTAAATGGCAAAAAGCATCCGATTATAAAGACTGCTATACATCATTGTGATCACAAGGTGGTGCAAGTGACCTACAAGCTCATTCACTTCACAAAACTGACAGCATTTTGCTTTATCACTGTCAAGCAACTAAGGCATTTTTAACTTGTAAAATGAACAAAAAAATGGCAAAACACAGCAACCACACACCCCCCCCCCCGACTCCCAATCAGCTGCATTTCCTTGACTCAGAATGCAGCTTCAGCCTAACTCAGAAGCTTCCAAATTTTTCCGCAGGTGTTAGCTGTACATCTCTAAGAGGTTATACCTGGAAAAGGGTTCTTGCCCTTGTCAGGTCTGAAACACTTTTCTTTTACACAGTATAAGGCACTTGGAGAAGCAGGTATTGTGGATATGCTATTTAATTCCCTAAGCCTGAGGAACATGAGGGCAATTTTCACTTTTCCAGTAAGAGATAATGAATTATCCACTGTAGAAACTCAGAATTTATGTACAGAATACAGACAAAATGAAAGCTTTTATTTTATATGCAACAGATATTTGGTATAATAAAACCTATTAACATAATTAAATTCAGTTAAATGCACGTCCACAGCAACTTAAACTAGAATTAGTAACAGAACTCAGATGCAGCATTATATTTTTGGCAGACACCTCAGAGGAATCATAGAATGGTTTGGGTTCTTCAGTACTATCCTGTACTCCTATCAACAGTACACGTCCATTTCAATGAATCTAGACAAAGCACTAATACCGCATCCAGTTACCTCTGTACACGGAGCATGTAGCTGTGAAAATATTTACTGCTCCAAAATTATACAATACCTATTTGCAGCAGTGTGATTTAGGTTCATTGTAACTACTTTGTTGATCTTAATATGTTCTGTTGCATATCTGGCATGACACTTCATTATAGTTTATGAATAAAGTAGTAGCACATTTGCACTACACTGATAAAAAGATGACTATAGATTTTTATATAAACATATGAATTAGATTTAAGAAATAAGAAAGAGCTTGGCTTAATATGAAACAAAATTTCTTCTTTAATATTCCACTACTGAAACTATTTAGGACCCCCTTCCATCAAGGAAAACAGAGTAGAGAGTAACATACTCATTCATGATTGATAACTAGCCAACTGTCTACAGAACATGTGGTATGTTTTACAGGATGTGTAAGATAATCTCAATGCAAACATCTTTCATCCACCGATGCTAATGTGAGTTCAGATTTTTGACAAGATTATACATGTATGGAACAAAAAATACCACCCAAACTATACATATGGAGGAGCTCCAGCAACTAAAATAAGTCACAAAAAGTCACGTACACTATGACCTGGTGTAATCTTGAATGCCCAAGTATGCTGAATTTAGTGCTAGCCCACTCTGCTCTTTCATGTTACAGCTAGACAATCCAAAACCGGATCAGTCAGATGTCTAAACCACTTCAAATGTGAAATAGCAAAATTCATGTTCAAGATGGGCATTCTGGAAGTGATAAATGAGACCTTTACATCCATATATGTTACATGCACTGACAGGATCAGAAGAGATCCTCAGCAAGCAGTATGCAGCTGGGAGACAAGAAAGCTTAATCTGTCCACTAAGCAAATGCAATATGATTTACACTTGGCATAAATGCTGAAGAGGAAAAGTTAAGCCATCAAAATAAACCAGGAATTGTTTACCCTAGAGAAACACAGTATGATTACAGGGTTAGGGCTCAGACACTTTCTCGTCTTCCTTCAGGGAGGGAAGAAGGGATTTTGTAGCCACTTTTCATTAGTGGGCTCATGAAAAAGCAGCATGATTCAAAATATGACAAAACCAACAAAGGTAGCACTTTCAAGAACTGCCTTTATCTGAAAATATGCAGTCATAAATCAGACAAAACTTATCAACTAGAAAGTGAATTCTCACTTCACAAAAAGCCCTTTTAAAGATCAATAGTCCTAACTGGCTTGGGGATAAGAGACACCAAACCAAAACCCCAACCAAACCAAAATCTGGAGTTCCCATTTTCCAGCACAGTACATACTGAAATACATCTTACAACTTTTACTTTGAGTGTCCTCAAAGGCCAGTAGCATCCTTCTCAGATGTTTGAGGTTTACCTTGATTCACCCTTGTTCTTCTTGTGCTACCTTAAGAGAATGCGCACTAGAAAACAACGTACGCTTTAATGACTTGTTTAGCTCAAGTTCACACAGCCTTGAATCCCAGGCATTGGCCAAAGGCGCTAAAGTGGCAAGCGTAAAGTAGGCATACAAGGAGGGCCTTTATGCCCTGTGGCACTTGTTATTTTGGTATGTAACTTGTAAGTTTTGTTATATAATTTAATAGACACAGAAACCCAAAATATTTCAGATTTGTTGAAGCACATACAAACTATTACCTGCTTGGTGGGAATATACCTTCTTCTTCGTTTCTGACTGATGATCACAGAGAAACTGCAGCTCTCCCTGTTCCACTTCCCCTTTCCCTCAGCATATTTAACCTCTTCTTTTCCACTCTTATTTTTCAAAATAAAATGCACCCATGTAAGCCCCATCTCTCAAATCAACATCAAATATTAACACAATTATAAGTTTGGCCCTTAAAAGGCACACCTGGGAGCGTGATTTGCAGGCAAAAGCTAACAGACGTTACCACACAGAGGTGTGTGTGTATACATGTATACAGAAGTATCTGGGTATCTGGAGAACCAAAGGCTGCAGATTCAGCTAGTAAAGCCAGCACGAAATCCCAGCAACCCTGGTCAGCCCATTTATTTTGCAGCAGGATTCTTGGGAGGTTGCAATTTGTAGGTGCTGAAGTAGCTCACCACCTGCTGAGGGACTTCTGCCAGGACACACTGCGCCAGCGCTTCTTTTGGAGACTTACCAAAAAAAAAAAAAAAAAAGAACACAGAGTTTCAGTTTCCATCAACTGTTGACAGAGACCCTAAGACAGGTAATAAGCACCTCCTCTACTAGGTCAGTTTAAAGTCTGGCATTTTACAGAGGACTTTACACAGTGCCCTTTTGGGACAGATGGAAGCTTCTCTGAAATCCTCACCACCTCACTCCCATTACTAAGAAGCATCTAAACACTCTTTAACTATCTGCTTAGATGACACTTCAGGGGCTTGTCTCATCATCCACAGCCTTTTGCACCATGTCTCATCCACAGTAATCAGTAATTGCACTGCTCCAGAGGAGCTCTGCTAGAGATGCTGTTTTCACTGTAAGACTAAGTACCCATGGGGAAAAAAGCACCCCTTTTTCAAGAAACTGAAAGCATTTTAATGTGTAATTTTATACTGAATATTGACCGTAGTTAATCTACATCCAGGTGCATTATTCAGTGAGCATATTCTATACTGATTTTGCTCTCTTTCTCCTTTCAGTTTGCATGATTTGCTCCAACACTAACAAAACTTCTATAAGAAGTAAAAGTACAAAATACAAAGACAAAATAAGAAGGTATAAGGAGTATTATTAATAGGGTTAATATTAAGAAACAAAATTAGAACATAAAGGTGGAAATTAAACTTATCTCCCCATCCTGAAGAAATTTTCTTTGCTTTTTGTTTGTGGCTTTTTGTTTGGTTTTGTGTTTTTTTTCTATTTATTAGGCTTCTGGGTTTGGAGTTTGTTCTTTTTTCTGTTGGGTTTTCTTTATTTTTTTTTTTTTTCTTAAATCAACTTTTTTCCAGCAATATCACATTTAAAAGTCAGACTATATACTAGCCAGAACATATTTTATTGGGTTCTACAGCAAAAAAAATCAGGACTCTATTCTTTCACTGCCTCTTTTTTTGGTATACTTGTTTTAAAGAAAACCAAAACTATTACCACTATTGTGCCCACACACAATTTCTACTGATTACAGCCTTCCTGATTTACGCTTGAATTTTAACACTGCACTAAAATGTGAGACTAATCCACATTTACAAATGGGCATCCACAATAAAAACACTCAACCATAAGAACAAAATCACAGTAAGTTCTTCCTCCCAAATGAAAAACACATCCATATATTTAATCAAGTTTGAGGGAGATTTACAAAGGTCATTCTTCTGCAGCAACTTGTCAGAAATGCAGTGCTGAAACCAGAATGGAATCTTTCTGAACATGCATCAGCTCACCTACTGAAAATTCTACAGATGATGAAGCTTTTTTGTCCTTTTTTCTTTTTAGACTTCCAAATTAATTTTAGAGACTCTGAAAATGCTTAAGACTATATTTATTAAACATTCCACCAAGATTACTTACATTTTGGAATTTCCTGAATGGCACAAACTGGACAATGTCTCTGACAGCTGGTTCTCCAGATGACAACCTAAGAACTCCATCGTCACCATCAAGAAATTCCATAGCATCAAAATCTGCTCCTCCAACACCAACAATGATAATGGACATGGGCAATTTTGAAGCATTAACTATGGCAGTTCGAGTCTGATCAAGGTCTGTTATCACACCATCCGTTATGATCAGGAGTATAAAGTATTGCTGTCAAATCAATAAACACCACGTTATGACAAAAAACAGAAAATAGGTAGGCATGTACACTTAGAAAAATGAACACACAGACTATATGCTTTGGTCACTTTAAGCATGTTCAATACACTCACTGAATTTTACAAGCAGACATCTAAGTTGCGGTCAAGCTTCAACTGTACAGTCTGAAGAAATTTATAAGGACAACAGAATCAGTCTTTTAGAAGAAGTCATCTTTAAACATCACCTCCCAAAAAAACCAAAAGTGGTATCACTCTTGTTCTTTATCAGCTAACAACGAATAAATGAGTCCTGGAACTCTTTTAAATTAAAACATCTTTTTCATGCTGAAAAACAGCATGTGCATTTTCAAATTTCTTTAATGATGTTTTCTAGCTGCTTTGTGAAGTTAATTATCAATGTATCTGAGACCACCTTGCAGTACTTTGGCAATTTATTCAAGCACCACTTGACCTGCTTCCACCATACTGCCAGGGCTTCTAAAAGCTGGCATCTCAGCCTCTGTTCTGGATTGAAGCATGAAGAATAAGCTAGAAGTACGAAGTTCAGAAACTATAAAAACACTTGCTGAACTTCTGGTCTTCTCTCACTTGGTTCATTTCAGGAGATTGCTGGGCAGCACAAATTCAAGTTCCAAAGGTATACTCAGGAGTCTTCCTCTTCAGAACTTTGCTCCCTGTCTTCACTTATCTGCTTCTAAAATAACTGGTTTTCCCTTATCTGCTGTGTTCAGGTATCACCTTTTCTCCTTGCTCCCCAACACTCCCAATTTCCCCCCTCCAACAACATCTACAAAACAACTATGACCAGAGAAGGCCAAGACCAGCAGCATGACAGAATATCACACTGGATTTATATCTCTCTTCTTATACTTTCCTCATAAGGAAAAAAAAAACAACAACAAAAAAAATCCAAAAAGCAAACCCAAAATATCTACAATACACATTAAATAGCAAAGCAGTAAAATTTATCCAATATGTAGATAGGAAAAGCCTCACATCAGATAGGAAAAGCCTCACGCTCACAGGCCCTTGTTCTCATGGGTGACTTCAACCACCCTGACATCTGTTGGAAGGACGGTATGGCCCAGCACAAGCAATCCAGGAGGTTCCTCGATTGTGTAGAAGACAATTTCCTTCTGCAAGTAATAAAGGAGCCAACGAGGAGAGGTGCCATGCTTGACCTCGTGCTCACCAACAGGGAAGGGCTCGTTGGAAATATGACGCTCCAGGGCAGCCTTGGATGCAGCGATCATGAGATGGTCGAACTCGAGATCCTCAGGACAGTGAGAAGAGCGTGCAGCAAGCTCACTGCCCTGGACTTCACAAGAGCAGACTTTGGCCTCTTCAGGAACCTGCTTCAGAAGGTTCCATGGGATACAGCCCTAGAGGGCAGAGGGGCCCAAGACTCTTGGTTGATATTCAAGGATCACCTGCTGCAAGCTCAGGAGTGTTGCATCCCAACCAGAAGGAAGTGCAGCAGGAGGGCCAGGAGACCTCCTTGGATGGATAAGGAGCTCCTGAGGAAAATTTAATTGAAAAAAAAGGCTTATAATAAGTGGAAGCAAGGACAGGCAGCCTGGGAAGAGTACAGGGATGTTGTCTGGGAAGCTAGGGACCAGGTTAGGAAAGCTAAGGCTCAGTCAGAATTAAACTTAGCTAGAGGTATTAAAGATAACAGGAAGGGATTCTACAGGTACATAGCAAATAAAAAACAGACTAGGGAGAACGTAGGCACCCTCAGGAAGCTCTCAGGAGAACTGGCTACACAGGATTTGGAGAAGGCTGAGGTTCTGAATGACTTCTTTGCCTCGGTCTTCACTGCCAAAGGCTCTGACTGCACCACCCAAGTCTTGGAAGGCAGATGCAGGGACTGTGAGAATGAAGACCTTATGCCCACTGTAGGAGAGGAACTGGTTCGAGACCATCTTAAAAATCTGAACGTGCACAAGTCCATGGGTCCTGATGAAATCCATCTGCAGGTCCTGAAGGAGCTGGCAAATGAAGTTGCGAAGCCGCTGGCCATCATATTTGAGAAATTGTGGCAGTCAGGTGAAGTTCCCAATGACTGGAAAAAGGGAAATATAACCCCCATTTTCAAGAAGGGGAAAATGGATGACCCAGGGAATTACAGACCAGTGAGTCTCACCTCTGTGCCTGGTAAAATCTTGGAGCAGATTCTCCTGGAAGGCATGCTAAGGCACATGAAAATCAACAAGGTGCTTGGTGACAGCCAGCATGGCTTCACTAAGGGGAAATCCTGCATGACCAATTTGGTGGCCTTCTATGATGGGGTTACAGAACTGATGGACAGAGGTAGAGCAGTTGATGTCATCTACCTGGACTTGTGCAAAGCGTTCAACACTGTCCCACATGACATCCTTGTCTCCAAATTGGAGAGACATCAATTTGATGGATGGACCACTCGGTGGATAAATAACTGGCTGGATGGCCGCACACAAAGAGCTGTGGTCAATGGCTCAATGTCCAGCTGGAGACCAGTAACAAGTGGGGTCCCTCAGGGATCGGTGTTGGGACCGGTCTTGTTAGGCATCTTCGTCGCTGACATGGACAATGGGATTGAGTGTGCCCTCAGCAAGTTTGCTGATGACACCAAGCTGTGTGGTTCAGTTGGTACGCTGGAGGGAAGGAATGCCATCCAGAGGGACCTAGACACACTTGTGAGGTGGGCTGATGCCAACCTCATGAGGTTTAACCATGACACGTGCAAGGTCCTACACCTGGGTCGAAGCAATCCCAGGCACAGCTATAGGTTGGGCAGAGAAGAGATTCAGAGCAGCCCCGCAGAGGACTTGGGGATGCTGCTCGATGAGAAAATGAACATGAGCCGGCTTCAGTGTGTGCTCACAGCCCATAAAGCCAGCCGTATCCTGGGCTGCATCAAAAGGAGCGTGACCAGCAGGTTGAAGGAGGTGATCCTGCCCCTCTACCCTGCTCTTGTGAGACCTCACTTGGTGTACTGTGTGCAGTTCTGGTGTCCTCAACATGAAAAGGACATGGAATTGTTGGAACAAGTCCAGAGAAGGGTCACGAGGATGTTCAGGGGACTGGAGCACCTCCCGTATGAAGACAGGCTGAGGAAGTTGGAGCTGTTCAGCCTGGAGAAGAGAAGGCTGCGTGGAGACCTCATAGCAGCCTTCCAGTATCTGAAGGGGGCCTATAGGGATGCTGGAGAGGGACTCTTCATTAGAGACTGTAGTGACAGGACAAGGGGTAACGGGTTAAAACTTAAACAGGGGAAGTTTAGGTTGGATATAAGAAGGAAATTCTTTCCTGTTAGGGTGGTGAGGCACTGGAATAGGTTGCCCAGGGAGTTTGCGAATGCTCCATCCCTGGCAGTGTTCAAGACCAGGTTGGAAGAGGCCTTGGGTGATATGATTTAGCGTTAGGTATCCCTGCCCACGGCAGGGGGGTTGGAACTATATGATCTTAAGGTCCTTTCCAACCCTAACGATTCTATGATTCTATATCCTTTCAGGCAGAAAAAAAAATCTCTTGCAAGGCATATTGGACTCTCTGGGAGAAAAAAAATGTACAAGAGGTTTTGCTACTTTCCATGTGTGTGTGTGTGTGTATATATATATATATGTATATATTGATGACAGTTACTACTGAAAGGCTATCAAAACCTTATAAATTTCCTGCCATTTGAAAATCAATACCTCTTTTCCAAATTGGTTTCCACAGGTACTTTTCTATGCAAAACCAGCTGATTTTATTTTCTGATTTTACACAATGTCTGAGACACCAGTATCTGCTATTGTTAATTATTTAGGATATATACAGCTTCAGATTTGCTGAACTTGCATGGATTATTATTTAAATTATTTCATATTCAAGACTTGCTCTTCAGATTTCCTATTTCTTAATATGGTCAACAACTCACACATACAATTTTAATAAAGAGCAGGGCAGAGAACATACAGCACCTAAAGCTTTCTAGTACAGACAATTTATTATCTATGTTGGCACCTAGATGGCAGGAGCTATATCCTCCATTTCTTTGTTATCTTATTTTATTCTCTCTCTCAGCTATCTGATGTGAAACAAGGTATAGGTAATTTTCTCAGCTGAGGTTAAGTCACTTTCCTATATGCAAAGGCTTAAATTAGACTTTTAACACCTGATTAGCATGGCAAGAGCTTGGAATACAAAATACCATGAAGATTCCATATATTTTTAAGCTGGTGTTTCAACTCTCAAGAGTTTGTTTAGTTAATTTTGGAGAGAATTACTGTGCACAATCTGCAGAAATCAGTTAGCTTTTATTTCCTTTTAAGGGTACCTAACACCAATTCACAAGGTAAATATCCATCAGTCAAAACAAATACAGCTTAAAAGAGAAAAATAGCATGTGTTAACTGGAAGGGAAAGAAAAAAGTAAAAAAAATATACACAGTACCATAAGGAACTTACAGATGCTGTTTGCTGTTGTGTAGCTGCAGCAGCAAATCTTGCCACATGATTTATAATTGGAGAAAAATTTGTTGGTCCATATAACCTCACTTGAGGAAGACAAGCCCGATACGCATCAACGATGCCTTGGACTCCTAGAGAACACCAATAGATCACATTTATTTTTTTTTCATATCAGATATTTTGAAGCACTCAATCTTCCTGAAACACTCTCTATATCAGTTATTTAAAGTAAGGACATGAAAATTTAAAACTAACCATGATGAAAAAGAGTAAATGATTCTATAAGCAGTGGAGGCCTTTAGCTTGACCAATGCTTAATGCAACTGCTTAACATGTTTGCCTCTATGTGTGAACAGAAAGGCCAACACTCTGGCTTGCAACAGTTCTCTTCATCTAGTAGCTCATGGTAGTTAATAGTGTGATCAGTGAGGCCATGTTGAACACGCACTGTTCAGCATCATATTCAAATCAGACAACTCCACAGTGAAGCAGAATGAATTGGCTTGACAACATAAAAGAATCATTCCCATTTACCTGTACTGTACCCTGTTTAAAACACTTCTTTCACAAATCATTACAGAAGAGAGACCGAATGCTAATCATAGCAACTAAGAAAACAATTATAAAATTGTTTCCTGTTACAGAACTAAATTCATTATTTAACTAGAACAATAGGCCTCACAGTTCACTTTCTATGTGATTTTTATCCCTTCACCTTAGACTTGCTCAGACTTACCATTACAGAATGGGTTTGATGGGTTAAAATTTAATGGGAACTCATGTGACACCTGTAAATATACAAGACATGGTCAAGGACTGTATATACAATCTCCTCCTGAAGTAAGTGCTTTTAGTTAATATGTAGTGCGTTTACATATTCCATTACCTGAAACGAAGGAGGAATTTGTGCACCAAATCCAAAGGCTGGAAACATCTTATCTCTAAAAAAGGCAATTTTAAAGAAAATGAAGTGAATGCCTTCCTTTAAAAGCTGTCATAGTTCAGTAAATTTAGCTAATCGCTGCCACTTCTGACTATTAAAAATGCTGTTTATTAAGCATTAAGAGGCAAAATTAAATGGAAGTTGTGCCATGTAACTGTTTTTAGGACCAAAACCAGTGTTCCACACCCAATGGGCAAAAATGCAAGCATTTATTTAAATCAACACTGCTTTTTGCATCACAGATGAAAAGCCTTGCTGTTTGTCTGCTGCAACACAAGCTTCTCCTTGTGACTATGTGATTATGCGATTATGCGATTCTGCAGTGATTATGAAGTCTTTTTTAGCTCTACATTTCATCTCAGAAGTTTTATTCCAATATATCTGCTAGCACCTTCAACACTGGTTTAAGAAGCTACCATAAAAATCTATACATATCAAAAAATTATTCAAATGAAAATCTAAAACTTACGTATCATAATCCTGAATGACCAGTCCTACAGACCAGATGGCTGTTAGGTATTCATTAACTCCATTAGGGCTGAGGTAATGCAGAGAGTCTGGAGAGCGAGGGTCTCCATTGGAGCCTGTAAAATCTATCCCTACCTGTCAAATGCAATGTTTATATTAAATTGCTGTTAGCGGTAAAATTATCTTTCTTATCAATCACAAGGCCAAACTGAAAATCATAAAAGGGTTGTAAACAGTAGCTACCAGGACATCTACAAATCTAATAGTCATAATATTCAGACGCAGGTTTCTTGGAATATTAACACTTAATGCCTTCACAAAACCAGCAGCAGCTTTACATTTGTCAGAAGGGCTGAAATGACTTTCATCTGTCAGGTTTTCACTTTCAGTTACCATTCACAGTGGCTCTTCAATAGCTATTAAACTAACTTCACCCTCTATCTTGCCATACACATCTTTCTTCTCAGAAGTACAGCAGTCACCACAGAAGCGTAGAGACACTTCTCCAACCTCAGTGGGTCTTCTCTGCTTTGGTGATGAAGTATACCACCAGGGTGAAGACATCTTACTGCTATTTGCACTGCTTTTGGTTCTTCTTGGGCTCCATCCACACAGCTCAGCTAGTTTCTAACAAACATAACTACAGGTTCAGAACTTTGTGCCATGAAAATAATTTTTCCTAAACACACTAGATGGACTCTGGCAAAATGACTTCCCCCTCCATGCTACAGAACAAAACAAAACCACCCCCCCCCAAAAAAATCAACCCAAACCCCCCTCCAAAAAAATCCCTGATAATAAAATGCAGAGCACAGGTGCACAGGCAATCAATTATACATTTCCATTCATTCTAAAATGTAAAAGCTACTCTGTATAAATGATTTTACTTACTGTGAAATTCAGTTGACACCCACCCATGATGTAATCGAGGAATGTGCACTCTACTATGATCTAAAAACAGAAGTTAAATATAGAAATTAACTTTTTTTTTATATTTGAGAAAACCAATAAATATTATTGCAGTAACTTTTGAGATTGTAGATTTGTTATCTTTACCCATGCAAAGCACTACTTTTACTCTACAGACATCTAAAGATACATACTTTTACTATATACCAATTTTACTCTAGAGATATCTAAAGATACATGCTTTTACTATATACTATTTTTTCTCTACAGATTTTACCCACCCACTGCAGTGAGGATACCTACAGAGTGGGCCGTCGGTGCATCAGAATTAGGCCTTTTACAAAATTACAGGTAGACAACAAAGCAGCTCCAAAAGCTCTATTATTTATAAACCAACATATAATAACAGACTTACCAGATTTTAATTCACCATATAATGGTGAGTTGGGAAATGCAGGGGTTCAGGAATGGCCTTACAAATTAGTAAGTGATCTTTGCCATATAGATGGCACCTTCATGAGAAAGTGAGGGGACAGAGGACAGACACAAGATTCAGCTGCCAATCTGTCTCCTTAATCGGATTCCTTAAATACCTACTGTGTCTGGAACTTTCAGACATTTTAAAGTTTCTTACAGTTTGAGGGTGAAAGCATAGCAGGTGACAGCTGTTATGCCTGAACACTTATAAACAGAGTAATACCAGAATACATCACTGACCTCACAGTGCTTAACGCTCACAATACCAGAGTTTTTATAGCTTTTTTTCTTCTGTCGTTTCTTTTCATTGATGCACTCAAATTCAACCTGCATGAACACAAACAAATCCAACATAAGCACTAAAGGTATCATTTATGCAACAAAAATTCTTCATTCTATGACTGGTACTTTGGGCTTGTATTAAAAATGCAGTCTCACTATCAAAAATTTAACCCAGTTTGCCCCAAATTAGCAAGAAGAATGCCATTATCAATATAGAAATCCTCTCTTACCAAAAAGTTTAGAAATATGTTTGTTTAGACAACTGTATTTTAACCAAAGAAATTGTACTATTTTCCCTCTGAGGATTCTACTACCTAAAAACCTGATTTTTGCCTGAATCACCATGTCTTTAACGAAGCAGCTGTAGCACTGACATATGAAGTAATACCTATATGTATAAGCTTTCCAAAATCAGTTGTTGAGGCTTCATCAGTTAAACCATTACCTTAACCTACTAGTGCAGTCAACACTGAGCCAGGTTATGCAGCTCCTGCCACCATACAGGTAAATGGATGAGTAATGTAAATGCTGAGCTAGCCTCAACTACAGCAGCATTGTTAAGCTGCAGCCTCACAACTTCAATATCACAAGTCAAGTGACATTAAGTTTTGCTCCCAAATGAGTATAACAGCTCATCAAAAGCACACAGGTAGACTACATGAGACTTACAGGTGAGGACCGGGATGCTTCTTTCAGTTTTGACATCGTAGTTTGAAAGCTTCCTATGAGATCATGAGACCCATCACTATCATAGTCATAGCACTCTACCTAAAATGAAGCACTATCCAGTGTTAGTAACAGAAATAGCCCTAGAAAAGCAATGAACACTTCCATAGCATTTCCCCAGGCAAAACTGAATCTCTTATTTGATGGAGATTTTCCGAGATTGCACTCTTAGAATTGAATAGAGTAACACCTAAAATTATGAATGAAGCATGATAAAAAACAATATAACCCATTTCAGACCAGATCTTTCACTGGAACGAAGGAGGGACGAAAACACTAAGCAGCTTCAGGTCTTGAATGACCAAGTAACATCAATTATACTGAACTATGTTTTGGGAGTGTGAGGGTGTTGGGAACAGCAAGAGAATAATGTATTTTCTTCCTACTGTAATCATGGATTAAGAGACTTAAATTTTTCAGAGGTATTAAGGAAATTTAGCTATCTCTGAGCATCCAGCCAAAAAAATAGTGAACCAGTTATTCAGCAATCACAAGAGTTTTATTAACACTTTTATATTAAAGAAAGCTCAGAATTCAGAAGTATATGAAGGTTCAGCCATAAATCTAGAAACAAGACTTGAGTTTTTTTAACATCTTTTAACACCCCAATGTACCAAAGAAGGCAGAACAAGTGAAATTTCCTTATTTCCTAAGAACCTATCAATTTGAGTGAGTATCATTATACCACTTACAGCATCCTCAATTTCTGTTTTTTAAAAGTTTAACTTACAAATGCAGCCGATCTGCATTTTCAGATAAAAAGCTGTTTATTTATTTATAATAGCATATGCTAGTTCCATCCACTTCTGATATTTTATTTCAGTTTAGCAATGCAGGCATGCTAGCTAATTGGGTAACAGGAAAAAAAAATAAAGTAACTTAATAAAAATAATTATAAATAATAAAAATAATAAACCAAGAGTTAAAGTAGGAATCCTCCATTAGAATGGAATCAAAACAAGCTTCAAGAAAACCTTTTCTGAATACATAGGGCTTGAAATGAATAGATATTTTCATGTTCATCTTTCCAGACTGAAAAAAACCATACATTTTATTAAAGAAACAATTCAGTTGATTACTTGGCCACTGCATTTAGGAATAATAAAGTAAAACAAACCACTTCAACATACACTTGAACTTCTGAGAGGAATTAACTCTCTGAATACACAGGAATGGTGAAGTACAAAATATGATGTGTAGATTGCAAGTTCTATGCTGTGCAGAACATGCCTCATGCCTCTACATTGCAGTTTGCACTACTCCTACATTTTGAATGCACTAATAAATAAATGCATGCACATGCAGTGAATAGCAACTTAAATCTCATACAAGCAGCTACAGAACCAAAAAACTAATATTCATGGCAGATGCTATGTAAATTCTTTTGAATGCCATAAATTAAGCCAATCAACTACTCAGCCAAGTTCTTCAGTACCTGAAATTTAAAACTGAAGACATTTCCTGAGGCAACAGTTATGATACCTGCTCACAGTTGGCACAGTTATCTTTCCTTTTAAAGGGATCAAAGCTTGTCTTGCTTGATATATGCAACTAATCTAAACCAATTTTCAATGCTTATCCAAGCAAGACAGAAGTGTTTCTTTTGTTCCATGTATGCTCCTCCTGGACATACAAAAGCACTAGGGAACCAGGTGATGAGACTGCGTATATATTTGACCCAGCAGAACTAGGCATGCTTGCTCCAGATGAAAGGCTCACATTTTCAACATGGAAAAACTTCACTGACTGCAAACACACTCTGATGGAATATAGCAATAGATCCTTAAGATAAAGAAATGACTTGGTTTGTGCATTGCTGGGGATACACAAACCAAGCCACTCATTATGAAAAAGTTGGTAGGTTTACTTACTATGACAAATGGCCCATTACGTATGCAACTGTGCACGTATAAAAGTGTTAAAAAGTATGGTTTAATCCTTCAACATTATAATACAATTCTTCCTGCATTTTTATGTTTGAAGTAATAGCTCCTAGACTTATAAATTAAGACATAATCCTACTGTCTGCCTGCAACTCTGTAACAAGTCCAAGTAAAATCTATTTCCTCTGGAAATAAACCTACACTTCTGAGGTAGGATTCCAATGAACAGGTTTTATTAAAATGATGACAGAAACTGATAATTACTCCATCTTAATAGATATAATTTAATCAATGGTCTATAGTTTTAGTACAGCTGTTTACTGAAAAAGATAAATATATTTACAGTATATGGAGATGAAAGAGCTATTACAGCTGTTTTGGGGAAAAGGGAAGCAGAAAGGAATGATAAAGTATAGAAACTTCTTGGGAAGCAGGCTTCTAAAGTTGTTCATTAGCCTTCTCTATAATTATTTGTTTAAATCTATACAGGTGCTTATAACACTCAGATCCCTCTGGCTGCTAAGCATATTCCAAGGCTGCCTCAAGTCATGTGACTAATACCTATCTGTCACATGCAGATCATGCTCTCATTTTTCCTACCCAGAGGAAAAATGGCAAGTACAGTGGTTTATTCATTTCTTTGTTGGCTTTTTTTTTCTTAAATGCTAAAATATCAGGTTTCTAACATGTTCATAATAGATTATAAATGGCCTTTTGATGGGTTGCTTAGTTTCAATTCCACCCTTAAAGGGAATTCCTGAAGAAAAACACTCAGAAGTTAAACGTAATTTATTCAAGATAAAATCTGAACATACAAATAGTTAAAGACCAGTCCTGGTAGAACTGTCACTTCACAGGTTTGGTGACTTTCTGACAGAAGGTTCAGTTCTATCTGAGGAGAAAAAATTGCTACATCGGGTATCCACAATACATATTTGGTCCACACCTGTTATCTCAGCTGGTATATTAGTGTAATTAATTGTACCAGGTAGTATATTAAAAATTTCCTTAGTGTTACCTGTTGCACCAGTAAAGTATTGTAAGACCTATAACATAGACCAAAGCATATTCTAGCCTTTACCACACATCTTTCTCTATACAGTGCCTGAACACCACTAATACTGTCTGATGCAACCTAAAACTATGATCCAAATAAGAAACTGAACCAGGTCTTCCAAAGCTACTTGTGTTTAACTGTTTTCTCAGACTTTCAAAGACCAAATTCTACCAGACAAATGTGAGATACGTTTTTTGCCCCTAAAACATGCATGTATCTTTGTGAATTTTAAATAAGAGGACTAATACTTTCAATTCAATTTGAAACAGAGACAATAACTAGAATAAAACATCTTTCATTTATTATTACATACTCTCATTTTTTAATGCATTAATTCATACACACATTTCATATACATTACCTTGATCAACTTATCCATGTCACTGTAACACAGAGAATTGAGAGAGATTTTAAAGGGTCTCCAAACTGGATTCAGGTTGTTCTTAATAACCTGTTTATAAAAAAAGCCAGAATAGTATTGCTCCCAGAAGTGGAATGTAGTCATTGTAATGGGCCATACCTTCACGCCATGATTTTTGTGAGCAAAACCAGTTGACTAATGATGCTGTCCATCACTTCCTGCAATCCAAATCCTAGCATGCAGAATATATAAACAAACACAACATTCTAAACAAGCAATACCATTGTCCAAAAGAGATAGTATCTTTCAGCTCCGTATTTTTCTAGACTGCATTGTGATCTATTATATGATTCAGCTACTACACTGCAAAAATGAATATTTATATAAATATTGCCTTTTTTTCATAATACACACAAACATATATGAAAGTGTGGCTTACCAAAGAAAGTGGAAAAAGATTACATTGGAAATTCTGAATACATCAATGCTCTAGAGATTACAATTCACTGCAGCTTCTATTTATTCTGAAATGCTGCTTATGGAAATACTGCCTCAAGAAATTCATGGTATAGTTAAGCAGAAACAGTACATGAGGATAAAAGGTCTCAAACTGAACACCAAAAACATGACATTTAAGAATAATACCGAATGATCTTCAGAATTTCTCAAATGGAAAATATCTGTAATATGCCCAATACACACCAAATCATGATCTTATAAAGCACAAGAAACTACATGCAACAAGAAACAGTTAATTAATGATACCTAATAATACTTACACTTCCAGCACTGTATGAGTGCAAGGAAAGAAACAGCTCTTTTGAAAATAAAAAGAGTAAATAATGGTTAGTAACATAAAAAGTTTTTAAAATCTGTAACATAAAGAACTAATCCTACAGCAAATTTGGGTTTTATCTAAAACTGAAGATGACTGAAATCCTCATGGGAAAGATATAATTTACACAGAAGAACCACCTGACAAGAGAAACAAGTTTTATAGATCTGACACAAAAAGGATTCCTACTTCTTCGACATCCATGCTTCAAAATTAACACGGTCACCACTTCAAATGCACACAGTACCAGTGAAACATTTTGAACCTGACCTGTCAGCTGCCTCCATGGCACCTCTGCACCTCCTCCAAGGTAGAAGGCTGCTGCTGCTCAATCACGCTTTCCCTCAGTCAGCATTATCCTTGTCTTGCCCTTGCTATGCAACCATGCAGTATAATTACTTTCATTACTAAATGACACAGCTAGGTGCCACTGACCTAAGAACAGCACAGTCACAGGAATGCTCAACAACCTCTAAGGGTGAGCAGCACTCAGACAAATGTCCATGTATGAGCACACAGAACCTTTTCAAAACATTCAATTTCTTTTGAACTGCAGAAAATTTTGTGGTAGGGTTTGCTTTTTTGTGGTTGTTTTTTTGTGGGTTTGTTTGTTTGTTTGATTGGGTCTTTTTAGTATTTTCCTTTAAAACAGGATGGCATAAATCAGAAACAGAGTAAGGTAGACTTCCTGTTCTATCACAAAATCAGTGGAAGATCTGAGGTCATTTCTAACCAGTCTGTGTCAACTACCAGACCACTGTCTTCTTTTTGTAAGCCACTGTACCTCTAGTGCTGTGACACATTAAAAATCAAATAAACTTTTAAACTCTAAATTGTTGACTGAAAATATCCTACCTCTGTTCTGTGAACCATCACCCAGTTTCCATCTCCCGTCTGCTTGTGGAATTCCAGATAAGGATCTGACTTTCCAAAAAAATCCTGTATTTAAAGAACATGTAATTATCCCAGAACAGCCTGTGGCATGAATGCTAGTAAATGCAGTTAAAGCACACTTAGATTAACAAAAAGTAAACTAAACGTTCATGGAACAAAAACTTTAGATGCAAGTCTGATGAAAGAGGAAAAAAAAACTAGGCGTTTGTCAATTTAGGTTAAAAGTTCTGTAGTGTCCATATACTAGATACCTGACAACTCAAACAAAAGAATATTTATCCTATCCATCATAATACTTATTTGTTAGAAAACTAAGGATATAATCCTGTTCAAAAAAGCATCATTAAATCAGCTGAGAAAAATAACATATCTTTCATTATTTTGTTTTAAAAAGTCTTTCTAAATAGAGTCATTTTGGCCAGCCTCAAAACATTCACATAACAGATTGATACACTCCAAGTGTACTCTTACGCAGTTATTTCAGAGTGATAGCAGGTAATCATTTATACACCTATTCAACCCAAACTCCCTTATCATTATCATTATGATTAATTATAAATATTTACATTTAAATGAAAGCATGCTGTTCACAGACCATTCCTGAAATGCACTTGGCTTTTTTAGAAATATATTAGAGTTCATTTCAAAACAGTTAATAAATTTACTGTGAAACCATCTTTCTTCAATTTGTTAGCATAAGAAGAGTCTTAATGGATTTGTTTCAGAAAAAAAACACCCAAAACAAAACAAAAAAACCCAAACATTTTAATGTTTCCTGTTTTGACAAGATTCTGATTTTACTAAGAAACAGCAATGGCTTAAATACCTTGTTGTCCAGTTTCCTTGCTTCTACTTCCAATACAACCACCCTGTTGTCCTTCACTTCTTCTGCTGTAATCTAGAAAGGCAAAAAAAATTAAATCCTCATTTTGTATTCAGGAACTACATCGTTTTCTCATATTCACAACAGGTCCACTAAAATAAATCATGTTTACTCACAAATGAAATATTAAAAAATGGAGCCCGGGAAGAACAATTTGATCTGATATTGAGATTCATGAGATGCTGATACTGACAATTACAGATATTGCTCAAACAGTCGCACACTGGATGCGCTAATTATTTTATGGATGCAATGAGACCCAGAGATGCAGAACACAGGTCACTGCTCTTCTGGATGACAAAAAAATAATAGTGGAAGGGAAAAATAAATAAATAGAAAGCTTTAAGAAAGATACTTTTTACAGCACTGTAGGTTACACATACTGTGTTCAAAACACTAACTTAAAAAAAACCAACCAAACAAAAAAAACAAACACCAAAACATTTAAGGATAAATACTGAACAGATTGTCTTACCGTAATACTTCCTGTTCCAGCAGGTCTGCCATTTTTGAGTACTAATGGTTTTGTTAGAGTCCTGCTAGAAACTATCTGCCAAGACAAAATTTGTGTATCAAGCATTAGTAGCACAATTAAATGTATCAGTAGCACAATTTAATAGATTTTCAAAGGAATGAAATCAGATAGTGAAGTATTTTCCTTTTATTAATTTTTCCTTTATCATGAAGATGACAGCATGGCATTTACTTTCCATGATCTTCTATAAATAAATAGTTAATACTCAACATATTTCAAAATTTTAAAGTACATATGCAGATGAACACACGCAGAGTTTCAGGAGCAGTATGTGTTCAAATGTCTTCTAGTAACATGATACACATAATGGACAAATACCTTAAGTTTCAATCTCAAACCATTTTTAAGTTTTTCATATGTACGATTCAAACACATGAAAGCCACATTTCATTAAGGGGTTCAGCAAACATTTGTAAACACAATGCTTGTCATGGAAACAAAAAACAGCCTCCCCCTGCAGTGTTTCTGCAGTTCATCTTATTTTATCCTCTGCTGGCAATGCCTTTTCAGAAGTTTGTCTACTCATTCTACAGGTCCTTCTTTACTTTAAGAATGAATAATTAATTTTAAATTGCTACTGAATTTCATTTCACCATGCCTCTGTCTCCATAATAAGCTGAAAATAAAAACACTTTAGACACAGGGAAGAAGAATTTGATTGGGAAATGAGAATGAAATCGACAGTAAGCAGAACCAGAATCACTGCTGCTTGCCTTGAGTGGAAAGAAAATTACAAGGTTAACATGGCACTTGTGAACATTCTTTATGTTACTAAATCAAACTCTCTTCTTATAGAGCCTAAAAGTAAGAATTTGAGTACTGCAGTAAGTAAATAGCAATTACTACTTTGTGCTCATTGACAGTCCACTTAGTTTCAGACAGGAATCTGGACAGTCACCATCATAAAGTACATTTCAGGGCACCATCGCAAGACCTTTTGCGCATAAAATGTATATACATGGAACCAAGGCTTGAAGAAACAAATGAAAGGAATTCTATTCAGTTTAGGAGTACCCCAATCACACAAGATGACAGTGGTAAATTTAAGGTAAATTATATAAGCAACTGACATTTTCTTAATTCTAAGGGAAAACATCTGCATACTTACTTGTCCCAGTGTACATTCAAATTCTCCTAAGAAATCATCATCATTCAGATCAAAGGTTTTGTTATCGATGTCATATATTCCAAATTTAAGTTTCTGAACAAGCTCAAAATAGTAATCAATTAGGAATTTCTTGGCAAACTTTGGGTTCAGGGAATTCTTAACTCTCTCTGTGCGATCAACCTGCAGTTAGAAAGATACCACTTTATCCAGGATTTCATCAATCAAACAAGCATTCAAATGAAATAATATATTATTAAAGACTCTCAAAAGTTCTTACTATGAAGTATAAAGCCATATATTCCTACAAACCTTTCATCAACTATGAATATATGTATATATTTCTGAATCAAAGTTATATTTGCAATATATTTATATTTTCTAAATAAAAATATGGAACAAAATCCACTGCTGTAAGTCAGAGAAATATTGGAGGACCTGTTTTTCTTCTCTCCCAGTACTGGGTATTTATTCCTGCATAAAGATCAACATAAAAATAACAGGAAGGGCTTCCATAGGTAAGTAGCAAATAAAAGACAGACTAGGGACAATATGGGCCCTCTCCAGAAGCTATCAAGAGAACTGGCTACCCTGGATTTAGAGAAGGCTGAGGTTCTGAATGACTTCATTGCCTCAGTCTTCAGATGGCTTGAGACCACCTTAAGAACATGAATGTACACAAGTCCAAGGGACCTGATGAAATCCATCCACGGGTCCGGAAGGAGCTGGCAAATGAAGTTGCTAAGACACTGCCCATCATATTTGGAAGATCATGGCAGTAACCTGAAGTTCCTGACGACTGGAAAAAGGGAAATACAATCCCCATTTTAAGAAGGAGAAAATGGATAACACAGGAAATTACAGACCAGTCAGTCACACCTCTGTGTCTGGCAAAATCTTGGAACAGATTCAATTGGAAGGCATGCTAAGGCACATAAAAACACGGTGCTTGGTGACAGCCAGCAGGGCTTGACAAAAGGGAAATCCTGCCTGACCAATTTGGTGGCCTTCTATGATGGGGCTATGGAACTGATGGACAGGGGTAGAGCAGTTGATGTCATCTACCTGGACTTCTGCAAAGCATTCGACACTGCCTCAAATGACATCCTTATCTCTAAATTGGAGAGACATCAATTTGATAGGTGGACCACTTGGTTGATAAAGAACTGGCTGGATGGCCGCATACAAAGGGTTGTGGTCAATGGCTCAATGTCCAGCTGCAGACCAGTAATGAATGGTGTCCCTCAGGGATTGGTGTTGGGACCCGTCTTGTTCAACATCTTTCTCAGCAAAATGGACAGTGGGATTGAGTGTGCCCTTAGCAAGATTGCCGATGACACCAAGCTGTCTGGTTTGGTTGATAGCTGGAGGGAAGGAATGCCATCCAGAGGGACCTTGACATGCTTGTAAGGTGGGCTGATGCCAGTGCAATGTACTACACCTGGGTCACAGCAATGAGTTGTGTGCAGTTCTGGTGTCCTCAACATAAAAAGGACATGGAACTGTTGGAACAAGAGCAGAGGAGGGCCACAAGGATAATCAGGGGGCTGGAGCACCTCCCGTATGAAGACAGGCTGAGAAAGTTGGGGCTGTTCAGCCTGGAGAAGAGAAGGCTGTGTGGAGACCTAGCAGCCTTCCAGTATCTGAAGGGGGCCTACAAGGATGCTGGGGAGGGACTCTTGATCAGGAACTGTAGTGGCAGGACAAGGGCTAATGGGCTCAAACTTAAACAGCAAAAGTTTACGTTAGATATAAGAAGTTTTATCTGTGAGGGTGGTGAGGCACTGGAAGGGGTTGCCCAAAGGAGTTGTGAATGCGCCATCCCCGGCAGTGTTCAAGGCCAGGCTGGATGGAGTCTCAGGTGACACAGCTGAGTGCGAGGTGTCCCGGCCCTAAATTGGGATGGGGAGTTGTCCCTTGTCCTGCTGGCAGCCCAGCCTAGCCCTTGCGGGAGCGAGCAGGCAAAGACCTGCATACACAGAGTAAGGAGTTGGTGGGTGCCGAAGAAGGCACAGGGGCCGGGTTCATGCCTGGGCCTTGCAGGCAGGGAGCACAGCCGCTCACCCCTGACCTCTCTGCTCTGGCAGGTCTTCAAGGTCTCACCGCCTCGCAAGGCGCTGAAGCGCAGGAAGCTAACGATCCTCCAGCTGCATGCACCAGCCTGCCAGAACTGGTGGGTGCTGCTGGCCAAGGAGCCCCCGCCCTCAGGCCAGCTCCTGCTGGCAGACGTGCCTGGGGCCCTAGCGACCCACAGCTCTGCCTGGGCAGCGAGAGGGGTCCGGGTGCCCAGTCCCCCTTCCCGCCACTTCGCTCCACTGCTCAGGGCAGCACCATGCACTCTTCTGCTTAGCTTTTGCCTTAGGCTATTCCAATACATGCTGGAGCCGGAGGACCACGCTGCCAGCAGGACCCAAGTGGGACTGCGAGACGAGGAAGAGATGCAAGTTGACATCAAGCCAGGGGATGACGAGGAGATGGAGGTAGACATCAGGTTGGAAGATGAAAAGGAGATGGAAGTGGACTAACTAGCAGTAAGAGCACGTGCTCCCAGCCACTGCTGGCAGTAAGGGTGGCTTGGCTGCTGCCGCTGCGCTGGGGCTGAACATGCTGCAGGGCCACGGTGCCCAGTGTCCTCGTCCTGGGGGCCACCACAGCGCTGCCCTGTGCTGCCTCTGGGCCACGTGAGCCAAGTCTCATCGCGTAGAGACCGGCTCCCAGCCTAGCCAGAGCCGAGTCCTGCGGCACAGTCACGCTCTCCCCAGCGTGTCTCAGGCTGTGGCAAACACAGTGACCATCAGCAGCCTCACTGAAATGACCTTGTGCTGCTTGCTTCCAGGGCCCATCAAGAAGGAGGAGGAAGGTATTTTGGGAAGTTGATTATTTTAGAAGATTCGTAGTTTGAAGAAGAGTGGAGTTTTGTAGATTTGGACTTTCTTTCTATTAGAGTTGGTTTTTGCAGATTGTAGTTTCAGATAGGAGAGGTGTAGCTTGTTGTATAAGAACTGTAGTTTGTTATTTTTTGTTGGTTTTTTAAATACATTTCTTGATCTTCCTGTGTTTGCTGTGAGCACACGCGGCGTTGGCAGACAAGCGGTTTCCACTCGCTCCCGGTTGCTGGGGCTGGAGGGGGCTGGGTCTGCTGGAGTTTGGGCCTGGGACACCATAGGTGCCCCGCATGGGCTCCCTGCCTTGGCAGAGTGGCTCTTTAAGGCTCTCTGCAGCTGCGGGCAAGGCTGGGCACAGGGAAGGGACCAAAGGTCTGGATGCTCACACCAACCCCTCGGTGGCTGCAGAGCACCTGGCCCGGTGCTGCCATCAGGCACAACCTGTGCCAGCGCTGACCAAGGCTTCTCGGGCTGCTCCTCAAGCTTGGGGAAACACAAGAATGTCATGGCATCATGGCATCACAGTGTGCCCAGACCCAGGTTGCTGCAGGCAGCACCTGCACCCGGCCTGCTGTTGGATCCTGCTGCCCAAAACAAGTTTGACCTCCCTCCATCTCTCTTTGCTGAGACCCTTCCTCCTGAGCCCGCAGGGTGGAAGAGGCTTTTAGGCCAGAGGTGGCTGGGGACACTGGAGGTTGGGGGGGCTGCAGCTGGGTCTATGGTCACACACTGGTGCTGTTGTGCTGGGACCTGGCAAGCGGAGAAAGAGGAGACACTTCCAGGAGGGAACTGGCAGTGGAGTGCAGGGGGAGCTGATGCGTGCATGAGCTGCGCATGCAAATGAAGATGGGCACATGTGAGTTCAAGGTCCGGACCTGTTGTAGAGCCCTCCTGAAGCAGGCAGCCCTTGCCCCATTCTGCTGGCAGCACATCTTGTCCTGCCCTCGCAGCCTTCGCTGCATGTGGGGTACAGGTTCTGGCATGGGCCCAGCTAGAGGATGTGGCCACGCAGCCGTGTCCTACTGCTGCCTGCACCCTGAGGCCAGGCAGGGTGGAATTCCACCCTCACAGATCCATCCCAGCTGCAGCACATCAGCACTGCTCAGCTCGCTCTCAGGTTGATCGTGGGACAGTGAAAGAGCAACGGAGATGGTCCTGGCCCCATAGAGCTGGCCAGCGCAGCGTTCCAAATGTTCATTGTCTATTTAAGCACAAGAGTGGATGAGGAATTGGCTGGATTCGGTGGATAAAGAACTGGCTAGATTCAGCGAATAATGAACCGGCTGGATGGCTGCACGCAAGGTGGTCAGCGGCTCAGTGTCCAGTTAGAGACCATTAACAAGTGGTGTCCCTCTGGGATCAGTGTTGGGACTGGTCTTGTTCAACATCTCTTGTCGCTGACATGGACAGTGGGATTGAGTGCGCCCTCAGCAAGTCTGCTGATGACACCAAGCTGCGCACTTCTGTTGATATGCTGGAGGGAAGGAATGCCATCCAGAGGGACCTTGACACACTTGTGAGGTGGGCTGATGCCAACGTTATGAAGTTCAGCCAAGCCAGGTGCAACGTCCTACACCAGGGTCGGGGCAATCCCAGGCACAGCTACAGGTTGGGTGGAGAAGAGATTCAGAGCAGCCCTGTGGAGAAGGACTTGCGGGTGCTGGTTGATGAGAAACTGAACAGGAGCAGGCAGTGTGCGCTCGCAGCCCAGAAAGCCAACCGTATCCTGGGCTGCATCAAATAGAGCATGACCAGCAGGTCCAAGAAGTTGATCCTGCTCCTCTACTCTGCTCTCGCGAGACCTCACTTGGACTGTTGTGTGCAGTTCTGGTGTCCTCAACATAAAAAGGACATGGAACTGTTGGAACAAGAGCAGAGGAGGGCCACAAGGATAATCAGGGGGCTGGAGCACCTCCCGTATGAAGATAGGCTGAGAAAGTTGGGGCTGTTCAGCCTGGAGAAGAGAAGGCTGCGTGGAGACCTCCTAGCAGCCTTCCAGTATCTGAAGGGGGCCTACAAGGATGCTGGGGAGGGACTCTTGATCAGGAACTGTAGTGGCAGGACAAGGGCTAATGGGCTCAAACTTAAACAGCAAAAGTTTACGTTAGATATAAGAAGTTTTATCTGTGAGGGTGGTGAGGCACTGGAAGGGGTTGCCCAAAAGAGTTGTGAATGCACCATCCCCGGCAGCGTTCAAGGCCAGGCTGGATGGAGTCTCGGGTGACACGGCTGAATGTGAGGTGTCCCGGCCCTAAAATGGGATGGGGAGTTGGAACCAGATGATCTTAAGGTCCTTTCCAACACTATCTATTCTATGATTCTATATTGTCAGATCCAGGATGAGACCCCAGTTTTGGAGTACTTTATTTCTGAAAGTACATGTAAGTGCTTAGAAGGCACATTCTGTTTGTCCACACGTGGCTGTGGAACATTGCTAAAAATCAGACAAGTATTTATTAAAAAAAACAATTATTAGCTTGCTGCCTGTGTAACTATTGTAGGTATAATCATGGTTTAGTGGGAGGTGTCCCTACCCATGCCAGGGGGGGTGGAACTAGATGAACTTAATGTTCTTTCCAACCCTAACTATTCTATGATTCTATGATTCAGAGGTGCTGCTATACAATTAATATATTTTATGTAGCTATATGAGTTATATATTTCTATATCATTAAATAATTTATATAATTAAAATATTTTAATGCACTCATACACTCCAGTGTTTTAAAAGTCCCAGCAACATAAACGGCATTTTTAGCAGATACATGAGAAACATCATTCTGTACCTCATACCACTGCTGACCACTGGTGTTCTGGAGAAGCACACAAAGCGGGTCCGACTTGGAAGCAACATCTTTATCCAAGAGATTGGTGCAGGAAATTGTCAACTCCACCTTTGTCACACACTGTGCCGCCATTAGTTAAGCTAGAAAGCAGCAACAGTAATTGTTATTTTAAAAATGGACTAAAAAGCAAACAATAGGCTTGTCACAATGCATTAACTCTCTGACAGATCACTAGAATTGTTAGATTGTCAAGAGTGAAATCTGAGGCTTCAAATGTAAATTTTAAGATTTATGACGTACCAAGAGTACGTTACTCTCATACTCTTGGCTTTGTATAAAACTTAATTTTAAAATCTGCACCTAAGAAACAAGATCAGGTTTCTTAGAATGCTTGAAGACCAAACGGAAAAATGGGAGACACCATAAACATTAAACTGTTCACAGTGAGCTGATGACAATAAAGCTTCAGAAGCCTTAAAGTACATCCTGTAATGATGTATGCCACATGAATACCAGTAACTTGTAATGTAAATATTAACAGTTCAATGAATAACAAAATAAGTCATATGACATACTCCCCAACCAAACCTTTGTAATGAAAAGCTGAAGCCATGAGCATGAGACAACCGGAAAAGGAGTTTAAGTGGGTAACAGAAATAGGCGATCTTGCTTTAGTAAATCTTCAAAACCAGCTAATTTTTAATAATAAGGATAAACAACTTTGAAGTCAAGTAACAACCAAGAATTAAGAGAAAATGTTCTTTCTGGAGGTTCATTTGAAAATAAAGAGCAACTGAAAGCTTTCTCATATTTCTTCTTAAGTATTTCAATAATTCTTTACTGGAACTGAGAAAACCAGCAGATATTACAAACCTACAGAGATAACTTCATTATCAATTATGAATCCCACATCGGGATAACCTTCATTTGCAAGCCAAATTAGGTCTGAGCAGCAGATATTTTCTATATAAAAACCCCTCTATAATTATACTCTTCAGAAATACAGTTGATCACTGCCAACATCTCTTTGGGAGGTGAGCCTCCACAGTACAAATGCCCTTGACTCAAAGACTAAAAATTCAAAATCTTTTCACAAGCAGCCTATCTTGGAAGTTCCCAAGCATCTTCAGGTTGTCCTTTTCCATATGAAGTCCACAGTCTAGACACAATATTAATTTATCTTGAAAGTGCATGAGACACTAAACAGAATAAGGAAAGAAAGGCATCTGCTTCTACTTAGCCAGCTTACTTGCAGTGTACACATATAGTGTACTTGAACATGAAGCTACATTTAACCCAAGCCTATGGGTTTCTTTCACTGCATTCCTATGACATTTGGTGAAAAGGAACTCTTTTTAGAGGCAAAAAGGAAAAGGAACATGGAAAAGAGGAACAATGAACTGAGAACAGGAGAAAGAAAACACAGTGGTCTGGGAGAATTTTCACGAGGGTTGTTTTATTCCACCTGGGCACACTTCACACACTGCCTCTCCATTTTGCTATTTAAGAGATGGATCTCTGTTTTGCCGTTCTGCCGTCTTAGCAATGGACTTCTGCAGAATGAAGAAAATATAGATTGTATGTAAAGGAACCACTGAAGCATTCATGCACATACCTTAACTTTAAGAGGAAGCATGTCAGATTCATGGAAATCCTACTGCACCCCCAAACAGCTAAAAGTGATTCCACCTTTGAGTATCTTTTGCTCCCATGACTTTACCAAGTTTCAGTCATTGTCCTTGAGGTGAAAAAAGTGAAATTCTAAGTTCTAAGTATCTAAATTGTTTTAAAACCAATGGGTTTTATGCTTAGCATATCTCTAAAAGCAGTCTGCCCCTTTTCCCCTGGTTTCTTTTACACTGATATTGTCCATTCCCTCTTGCTTTGCCAGACAGAGCTCATCAACAGTCAGTGGCTTTGCCCATAGAATCCAGTGGAGACCAGTGTATGACTCCTTAATGCCTGTTTCCAGAAAACCACTTTCTGCTGACAAATGATGCTCTAGACACAGTATCAACTTATTTTCAAGACTGAAAATTAATTTATAAACTGTAAGGCAGAACTTGCAGCATCCAATCTCTGAACTGCAGTAACATACAGTCAGAAGGGAGATACTCATTCCTGACCATATGTCATGTCTACGTCACTCAAGAGCATGATTAGGTCAACTAAGTGTATTACAAATTCTT